TGGGTGGTTTGAGGGGGGTCTGGAGGCCTGCAATCAAAAACAATATTGTTTGGGAAACCTAAATGACAACAACCCCCCCCAAAAAACACCAACAAACATCTTTAAAAAAACAGGAGCACCCGAGTGGGAGGTTTTCCGGAAGCGGGGGGTTCGGGGATTGAGTCCCCGGGGTTTCCAAAGAAGCCCCAGCAAACTCCTTGAGTGGACGTTTTTTCCCGGTCTTCCCCCCCCCCCGAGCCTGGGGAGAGGGGGGGCGGAACCTCCGAACAAAAACCTCGAAAAAAACACGATTGGATTTTTTCCAGGGAGGGGTTTTGAGGGGTCCTGCGGGACCCCTGGGGTGGCCGCAGAAACCTGGAATACTCCCTGAAGAAACTCCGAGCAAGGGTTTCGCTCGGAGGCCCCCCCCGAGAGCCTGGGATGGCTGGAGAAACCCGAGAAAACCTTCGAAACAAAAACCACAAAAAAAGGTTTATACTTGTATTGCAATTTCCCTCCGGAGCCTGGGTGGTCAGAGAAACCTCCAGAAAACTCCAAAAGACACCCCAAAAATATCCAAGCGAGGGGGGGGTCTGGGGTTTCCCCCCCCCCCGACCCCAGGGTGGCTGGAGAACCCCTGGAAAACCAAAAAAAAAAAAAACGCCCCCCGCCCGCCCCCCCTCCCCAGAGCCTGGGGCGGCCCGAGGACCCCCAGAGAACCACTCGGAAAACCCCGCAACAAAAACCTTAGCGTGAAGGTTTTCTTGGGTTTTCCCTCCCAGCGCATGGGGTGGCCAGAGAACCGCCAAAAAACCCTTGAGACCGCCAGAAAGATCCGAGTGCTTTTCCTCTTTTCTAGGGTTCCCCCCCCAGAGCCTGAGACGGCCTGAGAACCCCCAGAACTCCATTCAAAAATCCGAGGAGGGAGTTTTTCTACAAGGGTTCCCCCCCGAGCCAGGGCTGGCCAGAGAACGAAAGCCCCAAACAAAAAACATCAAAAAACCAGTGGAGGGGTTTTCTAAAGTTTTCCCTCCCGGAGCCTGGAGGGAGAGCGGGCCAGAGCAACACCTGGAAAACTCCCGACGAAAATCCGAATAACAAACAAACAAGCAAGCAAAACACATGGTAGGTGCCAGGGAGGTTCGGGGAACTGCCACACCCTACTAGTGCTTGGAGCTCGCCTCGGTTCTCTTGAGCCACCTCGCGCAAGTAACAACAGCGCTAGCGTCGCCAGAACCCAGATTCGGATAACCTCTCCGAGCAGAAACTCCGAAAATACCCCGACGATGTCAGACTGCGAACGAAGATGTAACATGCAAACGTGCACACACGGAAAAAAGCCCTGCATAAGTGCTTCATGAACGCAAGAGCGATGCACCTCATAATCCTCTTCCCTCTCATCATAATCCTCCTTCAAAAACCAGCCCTCAGACTATTTCGGGGGCGCATTCTTGGTAGGACTTCGACGCGGATCTGGCCGTGGCAACAAAGGCCTTGCAGGAGGACCATAAGGTTGCCAAGAGCCTCCCAACCCCCACCCTTATTCTCCTCCACATCGTTCTCCTGCCCCACGCATGTGAAGGATGGGTGACAGCCATGGCGGACCCAGAGGCACAGGAGCGGTAGATGGACAGGCTACAGGTGAAGAAGATAATCATGCAAGCTGCACGTACGGATCCTCCTCCTCCTCCCCATCCTCATCCTCGTCCTCCTGATCCTTACCCCCATCCCCTTCTCCTCCTCAGCCTCCTCCTGCTGCTGCTCCTCATTCTAGGCGCAAATGCATTGCCTGCTGTTGCATGGCAGCGCGAGCAGCGGCGGTACTGCAGCCGCGCCTCTTCGCGCCCCGCCCTGCTGAAGTCGGCTCGCCTTACTTTGTCTGGGTCTGGGCTGGGGGCGGGTTGGCCGAGGAGCGGGCTTCGCGTGCGTCGCGAAACCTGCTCCTCCTCTGGGCGGGGCGGCCTCTGGGTGCCATGGGGGTCGCCCGTCCGCGTTCTGCTACTTAGCCTCAGCTGCTTCTGTAGGCAGTAGCTGGTGGAACGCCAGTCTGGGCGCTCTTGCTTTTCCTGTGGTCCCTCGCCGCCATGGGCTGCCGTGGCGTTGCCTGTCGACCTTCTCGCAACTTGGGCACATGTTGCTGCATGTAGGCACCTGCGCCACCCGAGCGGCAACATCTATGGAGGCCGATGTGCCGTCTTGGGGCGTAACGTAGTTTCCTTCTCCCTCCAATTAGGTCGCACCTTTCGCTACCCCGTGTGCTCCTTCTCGTCCTCCTTCTCCTCCTGATCCTCCTCCTCCTCCTCCTCCTCATCCTCCTCCTCCTCCGCCTCCTCATTCTCATCCTCGTCCTCATCCTTCTCCTGCTTCTCTTCCTCCTCCCCTTCCTCCTCCTTATCCCGTTGGTCCTCCTCCACCTCCACTTTCTCCACAGCTTCCTCCTACTCATCTACCTCTTCCTCATACTCATCATCCTCCGCGTTGTATTCCCTCCTCATCCTGTTGTTCCTCATCATCCAACTCCTCGTCATAATCAGAGACATCATCGTCACCATCAACATCAACATCAGCATCATCATCATCATCATCATCATCATCATCATCATCATCATCATCATCATCATCATCACCATCATCATCATCATCATCATCATCATCATCATCAACATCATCATCATCATCATCATCATCATCATCATCATCATCATCATCATCATCATCAGCATCATCATCATCATCGTAAACATCATCATCATCAGCATCATCAACATCCTTCAGCAGCAGTCATCATCATCATCATCATCATCAGCTTCATCATCATCATCATCATCATCATCATCATCATCATCATCATCATCATCATCGTCATCATCATCGTCATCATCATCATCATCATCATCATCGTCAACAGCATCATCGTCATCATCAGCAGCATCAGCAGCATCATCGTCATCATCATCAGCATCAGCATCGCCATCATCATCATCATCATCATCATCATCATCATCATCGTCATCATCAGTTTCATTATCGTCATCAGCATCGTCATCATCATGCTCAGCAGACTAATCATCGTCGTCATCATCATCACCCCCATCATCATCATTATCCTCATCATCACCATCATCATCGTCAGCAGCATCAGTATCAGCATCATCATCGTCAGCATCATGATCGTCAGCAGCATCAGCATCATCAGCAGCAGCATCAGAATCATCATCATCATCGCCGTCATCATCATCGTAATCATCATCATCATCATCATCATCATCATCATCATCATCATCATCATCAACATCATCATCATCGTCGTCATCCTCATCATCGTCATCATCATCGTCGGCAGTCTTGGGGTCTCATGGGAGCCTCTTCGGGCCAAAGGCCCAAAAAGTTTGTTCGGGTACCCCGTCTGGGCGCCCTCTTGGAACCGTCTTGGGGGCCTCTTGGGCCGTCTTGGAAGCATCTTGGGCCCGTCTTGGGGCCGTCTTTGGGGCCTCTTGGGAGCCTCTTGGGCCGTCTTGGGGCGATCTTGGGGGCCTCCTGGGCCGTCTTGGGGCGATCTTGGGGGCCTCCTGGGCCGTCTTGAAGCGCCGGGAAGCGGAAAAAAACAGAAACCGAAAACCTTCAAAAACCTTCAAACCAAAAAACCATTGAACGTTGCCTCGTTGGGCCCTCTGGGGAGGCCTCTTGGAAGCCTTGTGGGGCATCTTGGAGACCTCTTGGGCTGTCTTGGAGCCATGTTAGGGCGTCTTGGGGGCCTCTTGGACCGTCGTAGAGCCAACTGAGGCCGTCTTGGAACGCTCTGGGGCCGTCTTGGAGCCCTCTTGGACCTCCCTTGGACCGTCTTACTGGTATCTGGGGCCGTTTGGGGCGCCTCTTGGGCCGTCGTGGGCCCCCGCAAGGAATATTTGACTTTGCGCGAGCCCGTCCCCCCCTCCCTGGACCCCCCTTGGGCTGACGCCCTACCAAGAACGGAACCGCGTGAACGCTCTTTCCGTCACCTGCTTGGAGGTGGCTCCCAAGCCCGGGTCAGCCAGAGTATAACGGAGGGGCTCGGCTGACCCCCGTTGGCGCTGACCCCTGTTACGTGAGTCCCGACCCCCCTATCCTTCCCTGAGATCCGGCGCTGCCACAAAAAATACAGCACCACCAAAAAAATAGCCTGGCGAAGGACCCAACCATATGAAGCTGCGAGCAATGCAGGGTGCGACCTTTGCCTCACAGGTAGCGCGCCGCGACAAGGATGGCGGGCGGGGCGGTGCAAATGGCGGCCACGAAACGCGTGAGGGGTGCGCCAAGGTGGGGGGGAACTGCATGCGGGCACTGCCACTGGGGCCTTCGGTGAAGCTCCCTGTGGGGCCACGAAACGTGTCAGGGGTGCGCCAAGATGGGGGTGGAACTGCATGCGGGCACTGCCACCGGGGACTTCGACGTGGCTCCCTATGGGGCCATGAAACGTGTGAGGGGTGCGCCAAGAAGGGGGGGGAACTGCATGCATGCGGGCACTGTCACTGGGGCCTTCGGTGGAGCTCCCTATGGGGCCACGAAACGTGAGGGGTGCGCCAAGATGGGGGTTGAACTGCATGCGGGCGCTGCCACTGGGGCCTTCGGTGGGGCTTCCTCCCTATGGGGCCACGAAGCGTGTGAGGGGTGCACCGACATGGTGGACATGCGGAGGGCAGAGGCAGGGATGGGATGAGGGAGGAGGGAGGGGGCAGCGGGAGGAGTGAACGCGGGGCGCTGTCTCTGCAAAACGAGGACCCAACACCACAGGATGGCTGGGAATGAAAGAATCCCGCTTGGAGCCCCGAACCCCCTCTCTCTCTCTGCGTCATCTCTCGAGCCGGATCGATCTGTGAGAGCCCCGGGGCCCGAGGCCCGGCGAAGACGCCCGGAGCGGAAGAGCTCTTCTGCGACGCCCGGACCCGCAGGCGCCAGGACCCCGTGCGCCGCCGGAGGGGCGGCCCCCGCGAGGGAGCCGGCCCAGCGCACCCCGCGGGGCGGCCGCCGCGGCCCGCTGGCGCCTGCACGGGCTCCACGGGGTCGAAGATGAGCTTGATGGCCACCCAGTTCGTGATGTACCCGACGAGGGCGCCTCGGGCGGCGCGGGCGGCGCGAGCGGCGGCAGGCCCGTGCAGGGGCGGCCTCGGCCCCGAGGGAGCGGACATCATCTGCACAGGTCCGCCTCCTGCCTTCTCCCTCCGCCCATGCTGCTCGGACGGATCTCCTTCTCCCTGGGCGAGGGGAGGGGGAGGAGCGAGGTGGATCTGCATCGCTGTCCTCCTCCGAGCATCGGACGTACGTGCAGGTCCAGCTCCTTCCTTCTCCCTCCTCCTGCTCTGATTGAGCTCCTTCTTCCTTGGAGAGGAGGAGGAGGAGGAGGAGGAGGAGGAGGAGGAGGAGGAGGAGGAGGAGGAGCCTCTGCATCGCTGCCCTCCTCCGAGCATCGGTTCCCGACGCCGCGCGGACCGTTCCGCCTCGAGCGAACGCGGCCTCCCGACCGCGCAGCTCGCGTTCGACGTCGGCCGCTTCCGGGCGACTCTGGCGGGACTCGGCCTTTGGAGCGCCCGCGCCGGGGTCGCCGCCGCGTCGGCGAGGCACGAGCCTGCCGTAGGGGGCGAGAGGGAGGGCCAGGGAGGACCTCCCTCGAAGGGAGGTGTTTCGCTATTTCCACGACGGGAGGACCTCCCTCGAAGGGAGGACCTCCCTCGAAGGGAGGACCTTCCCTCGAAGGGAGGACCTCCCTCGCGCTGCGAAAAAAACGCGAAGGGAGGTGTTTCGCTACTTCCTCGACCTGCGGGGGCCTCGGTGCCGGGCCTCGGGGCCGTCAAAAAACTACTCGGGATGCAGAACCGGCCCCGGGGAAGGGGTCCAGACTTGGGTCGGGCATATCCTCCAGTAGTTGAGCGCACGGATAAACATCCGCGGTGGCTCTTGTCACCTTTGCTCCGACTGGCGAAGTGAACCCCTGCAGCGCTCCACCCTTTCTTGTACTGCCCAAGGGCCATCCGGCCGGTGGGTCTCGCGCTTCATGTTTTTAATCCGAACAGGCGGATCTTGGACAAAAGAACAGAAACACCCAAAAAGTACCCAAGAAAATGTTTCAACAAACTAGAAGAATCGTCCCCATGCCATTCTTAAACTATTTTCGAATATATTCCCCTGTAGAGGGACAGGCCCGACTTCAGACTAGACCTCTGGGGGTCCGCGCTGTGAAAGAATCACAACGTCGGGGGTCTGGGCCCGGCGCCGCGGAAGGATCGCACCGGGAGGTGTCTCGCCGTTCTCGGCGACCCAGGGCCAGTTCTCCAGGCCCCAGCACAAGTTTGAAGCTACGGTTATGTCGGGCGTGTCTCCCTACAGGGGGATCTTCGACGAAAAATAAAAATACCAAAAAAATACTCCAAGGTCAAAAAATACTCAAAAAATGTCCCCAGACTATTTTTGGAATATGTTTTGACTATTTTGGGGGTATGTTTATTTTTCGTCGAAAATCCCCATGTAGGGAGACAGGCCCGATTTAAAGCTACGGCTCTGGACAGCGCGCCAGGGGAGGGCTCGAGAGCTCCAGGGGCCTGCGGCTCGAGAGTCGCTTCGTCAGAGGTGTGGGGAGGAGGAGCTCGGGCAGCGGGGCGGGGGGGGCAGCGGGAGGAAAGGGGCAGGAGGTCTAGGGGAACAAGAAGCGGCATAAACATAAAAACTCTGAGGTCCGCGCGGATTTCTCGGATCGGCGCTAGACCCCCCTCCCTGGAGCGCGCAGCGCGCCAGGGGCGGCGCCAGAGACGCCGCCGGAGGGCCCCAGCGCCGATCCGAGAAATCCGCGCGGACCTCCGAGTTTGTATGTTTATGTCACTTCTTGTTCCCCTAAGGTCGGAAGGAAGGAGGCGGAAGCGGCTCTGGCTGAGTGGGCCAAAACTGAATCTACACGCGGGGCAGGGAGGCCAGAAAGAGCAGGAGGGCAAAGTCGCGGCTGCACGAGAGCGGAACGAAGGAAGGCGCGCACGACGGGAGGGACAGGAAGTGTAACCGAACGGGATCCGCATCCACTACAGCAGGTTCCTGCCTTGTCGACGCGGACGTTGGCTTCCGATAGCGCGTAGATCTTTCAATCTTGTGCGACCTCCGACATCCGGCAGCCAAGACGGGTCAGAAGTGGCCTGGCTCGTGCTGCGAGTGGCGCGCGGCCTTCAACCTCGACGGCCCTTGTCGGCGCCGCCAGCTCGCGTCGACGCGACGCGCGCCTGCCGAAGGACGTCTTAGCTGAAAACCGGTCCCGGACCGCTCCTGGATGCCATCCTGTCCAGTATTTCGAGCTGCGTCTGGCCTCGACCAAAAATCACTCGCGTCCCTCACTGGAGGCCTCCCCAATAGGGTCCAAGCAGATGGGGTCAGAAGATCACTCCGCATCCATCGACGATGCATCGGCGATGCCGGCGTGGAAAAAATCAGGGTCCACATCGCACCGCATCGCCGATGCATCGGCGACGCGGCGCGATCCGCCGACCCTGTCTGCTCCGACCCCATTTGGAAGTCCTCACAATTCCGAACGATTCGACTCCTTCGGGGAACTCCGCATTCCGATGCCGATTCGAATCGCCTGCGGATTCCGACTGCGATACCAGTTCGATTCGGCGCCAGACAAGCCGAGCGCTGCCTGGCCGTCCTCGCCACCACCGGCCCCACAAAAGCGGGGCGGACGCCTCCGAGCGGCAGGGTCCACGAGTTCGGCACGAGGATCCACAGCGCCTGGGGCTCGGCGCGAAGCCAGCGAGAGGCGGACGGGTGGGCTGGGAGAGCCTGGCCACGCGAGCGAGGTGTCTGAACGCCTTTCGGGAAGGATCTGCTTTCGATTCGAAGCCTGTTATCGACGAGCGCGTTCCACTACTCGCAGAGTGGCTACTCGCAAATGGCCTCGATTTGCCAGGGGGATCTGCGAGAAATTACACCGAAGCCGACATGTGTTTTTCGGACGTTTGCGAGTAGACACTTTGCGAGTAGTGGAACGCGCTCGGTGATGTTAGCAGCCTCGTGCGGTCTCTTGGGAAACCTCTGGGGTGCCCAACGGAGGGCTCTTGGCGGGCTACTGGGGGCATCTCGAAGCCTCCTGGAATGACCTTCGAAGACTCCAGGGCCTCGTCAACGTCCTCCTCCTCCTCCTGATCCTCCTCATCCTCCTCATCGACCTCGTCTTCGTCGTTGCCCTTGTCATCGCCATCGACGTCCTCCTCATCTCCTCCTCGCCCCTGAATTGTTTTCTCCACCGTCTGTTCGTGTTACCCGCGCCAATTCCATGTTCTTTACCACGCTTCGTTGTCTCCATCCCTGATTCGTTTCCTCAAAACCTGTTTCGTACTAATCGCCTGTGATCGTATCCTCCGCTCCTGCTTTTTCATTCACCCTTATTACCTGTTGCACCTCTTCGTTGTTCCACCTCCTCCTCCTCCTCCTCCTCCTTCTCCTCCTCCCATTCCTCCTCCTACTCCGTCTCCGTTTTGCTGAACGATCCTCGCCAGCCTGGGATCAAGCCCTCCGCAAAGAAGGAGCAGGAAGGACGGGGGAAAGGAAGGGGAAGGAGAGGGACAGGGAGAGGGACGAGGATTAGGGAGAGCGGGACGATGATGTGGTGAAATGCTAGGAGGTGAAAGATGAAAGAGGAGGGATGAAGGAGGAGGACCAGACCAATGAATTACCCAACCAACTAGCAGGATGGTGAGGGGAACGCAGATGGAGAGGGAGAGGGAGAGGGAGAGGGAGGGCAACCAATCCACCAACCCCCATACAACCACCCCAGTCAACAAACAAAAACTACAAACCGACCACCCAGCAAGTGAAAACGTCGACGACCTAGCCAACAAGCCAGAACCAGCCAGCCAACCAACCAACCGATGAACCCTCACAGATCCAGACGTGTTAACCCACACATGCGATGCACCCCTTCAAGATGCGAGTGCTTAAACCCTTCCCCCGAGGGGGAGGGAGAAGCAGGAGGAGGAGGAGGAGGAGGAGGAGGAGGATGGAAGGACGAAAAAAAGGCAGGAGGACGACGACGCGGGAGTGTGCAGAAGCACTCACCTCAAATGCTGGGGGGGGGACCCCCTTCTCGCGCAGAGAAGGGAGTTGGGGAGGATTGTCGTCGTCGACGTCGTTGTCGCCGTCGCCGTCGTCGACGTCGTCGGCGTGGGAGTCGGCGTCGGCGTTGGCGTCGGTGCCAGCGTCGTGCGCCGTGCGTCGTCGTCGCCGTCGCCGTCGGCGTCGTCGTCGTCGAGGAGGATGGAGAGGCAGAGAGGCAGGGAGGGAGGGAGGGAGGGAGCTGGTGGGGGTGAGGAGCAGCAGCAGCAGCAAGAGCAGAGGACGAGGAGGAGCAGCAGCCGCGGGAGCGGGCCAAGGGGCGGAGGCGGAACACCAGAGACAGGAGCCCGCGGGGTCGGCAGGACCGAGGGCCTCTGAAATCCTGGCGTCGCAATTTTTCGAGCCGGGCGTTTTCGCTTTTTGGGGGGGGGGGGGGGGGGGGGGGCTGGGGAACATCGCAGATCGATCCAGCTCGAAAAACGGCGCAGAAAGATGGGGTCCGGGGCTCTACCGATGCCTCAATCTTTCCGCGCCGTCGGATCTCAGGGGCGGCCTCAGGGAGCAAGTTGCGGCGTGGGGAAGTCGATGCGAGGTGGGGGTTTATCCATATCCACCACCTGGGAACCGACGTCCTGGTGCCCCAGCGGGCGGTGGATATGGATATGTTTTGGCCCCCGGGGGCCGAATTTGTCCATATCCACCGCCTGCTGAGGTCCCCGAAACTTGGTCCTCCAGGCGGTGGTCATGTATAAGTTCCCGCCTCGGAGCCGAGCGCCGTGGCGCGCACGCACACTTTCCGAGGGCACGCAAATCGCGCCGCTGAGGGGGAACGACTCAGAGCGGGAAGGACCAGCTCCGAGCGGGCGGGGGGCGGGAGACATCGAGCCCGAACCAGCGAGACATCGCCGAGAGTTGTCCGACGGGCCCCGAGATCGAAACCGCCGCGTTCCTCGGCGGGGTGGGCCGACAGGCCACGATGTCGGCGACGAGTGGGCGGCGGGGGGTCGATGCTTCACGCCCCGAACCAGTCCCCCGCAGTGTCGCTGCGCCCCCGAGCAGATGCTCTCGCTCCCCGCATCGCTCAGAGAGAGCTGCTGGCCAGGGCCTCCAGGCCGTTTGGTGCGACCACGACTCTCGAAGGGCAGCCGCTGCCGACCAGCGCGTAGGCTTCACGGGCACGGGCCAGCTCGAACACCTCGTGGTGCAAAGACGGTGCCGTCAGTGCGCCACTCTCGAAACCCGGCATCACGCCACGTATGATTTCCGCTGACCTGCTGGCGCTATGCTGCATGGTCTCTGTCGAGTGCAATGTCAAATCTTTGCGGTAGAACTGACGGATGGGCAACGGGAATGATGCACTTGGCGACTTCGCCGCAAGAACTACCAATCGGCCGTGTGGGGCGAGCACGTCAATGAAACGACCGGTGTCGATGCCGACGCAATCGACAACAGTATTCACGGTGGGGATCACTTCCCGCAGAGTCTCCACCAAATCCCCCTGGCTGGTATCCACGACAAGATCAGCCCACGGTAATGTCAGGTTCCTGCGAACGATCGCAATGGTTTTAGCACCCTTCCATCTAGCGATCTGCATCAAAAACCGGCCCACCTGCCCATTGGCACCAGTTACAGCGACGGTCTCCCCGGCTTGGATGTTGGCTTTTGCTATGGCACAAGCCGCTGTGACCAAAGGGACACCCATCGTCCCAGCCTGCGCGACCGACACGCCACTCGGCAACGGAATGCAGGCATCAACAGGGAGCCGGGTGTACTGGGCCAGACCCCCATCACCAGCAATTCCACGGTCTTTTCCGCCGCAACTCCAAACGATCTTCCCCAGCAGATCTGCAGGCCCATTGACGACACGACCGCAGCAGTCGCGGCCAGCGACGACCCCGGGCCTCGTGTAGGGAAAGGCCCCGAGCAGCGCGCTGACATCACTGGGATTGACCCCAGCGGCCAGCACCTGAATCACGACCTGTCGGGGAGCTGCCGACGGGCAGGGACGCTTTGCGAGCAGCAGCGACCTCTCCAGGTGCTGGCCAACCTCCCCGATCACAGCACAGTCCATCAGGCTGCCACGACGGGGGGGCCCGGATGAGCGGCTGGCACGCGCCAGGAACATGACGCCGTGCCAAAACTCCTCGAGCCAGGGAGGCTTGCGCCAGGATGGCTACCGGGGCGGCAGGAGCAGGGGCAGGGGCAGAAGGGCGAGGAGCAGGACAAGCAGGGGACGACGCCTCAATGCCCCAGTCTCGTTGTTCAGCTTTCCCCTCGTCCTCCATCTTCTCATTTCCCTTCCAGCCTCTTCGTTCCTCCTGCTCCTCCTCCTCCTCCTGTTCTCCTCCTCCTGTTCTCCTCCTCCTCTTCCTCCTCCTCCTCCTCCTCCTCCTCTTCCTCCTCCTCATCTATCACGCCTCGAGTCCGACACGGTCCGTCCGATATAAATTGCAGCATGCACGGCGATAACGGTCGACACTGACGGTGCCGCGGCTCGATAAGGGTGGGTCCACCGGCAAAGCCGCACTCGCAGCAGCGGCGCGTCCTGTAGCCACTTTTCTCGTGAGAGGTGCTCGCCTCACGCTTCTTGGGCAGGTTTCGCACACTGCTCCAAAGCATTTGAAGGCACTCCTGCAAAAATCATTCCAGGTTTCAAAAATCAGAGTTGGTTTCATGAAACGATGGGTGACTTGACAGGGCTCCGAACTTCCCACAAGTTGATTGAGTTCCCTCTCCTTGCTTTAGAATTTCAGCCTTGGGTATATGAAGTGGTTCGATCGGCGTCTGCTTGGAAACGTCCGCTCAAGGAGGCTTGAGGGAAGATACTGCAAATGTCTAGGCGCGTGCTTGCGAGATACGGGAGTGCAATGCTGTTTCGGACGCATGGCTTTCTGCGCGAAAAGGTCTCCCTGAGCCCCCACCCCCGCAGGACCAGCTCTGGTGATCTTTGTGCGGCTTATTTTGATAGCCTCCGCCCAGTGGATTCGCGCATCGCACAAACCATGTCTCGCATACAGACTTTGCTACAAGTCGGTCTAGTGACGACTGCATGGTGCGCGTCGCGATTAAGACAGTGCTCGACGCGCAGCTGGCGCTGGAAAAGAGGCAGAATCGAGCGCTGCCTGGAAAAAGCAGGTCCTCACCGTAGTCTACCTACCCTCCCCAAGCCCCTACCTTCATCGGGGAACTCATAATGCCATGCGCATAAACTGTCGGAAGTCCGCGCAGATTTCTCGGATCAGCACTGAAGCACCCCGGCGGCGCCTCTGGCGCCGCCCCTGGCGCGCTCCACGCGCAAGGGAGGCGGTTCCAGCGCCGATCGAAGAAATCAGCGAGCTCCTCCCACAATTCATATTTATATCATTATTGGTTCCCCGACTTCAGGGGCATATGCTGTGCAAACCAACAATAATCCAACTGCGGCGGTCCGGGCATGTATCACAGAAACGGTTGAGTCTAGGCCGGGTGGAGCTGTCAGGTGTCCACGTCAGTTGCGGAGTCAGTTGGTGCTCGGAGCCCGAAACCAAAACCCTCAGACGCTCGATGACCATACGACACTGTGAGAATGTCGGGGGCCTTGGCCGTTGCCATGCCTCGCAGGATTCTCACGCGTCAAGTATTCATGGCAAGTCTACTTAAGATCAAAATCTTAAAGATATTCAGCAATCGCTGGGTTCCACTCTATGCGCACACAGCTTCATGTGGGGCTCGTTGGCGCGACGGGGTCCCTCCCGTGGAGCCTGATAGCCCACACAGCCCGCCAACGAAAACGGACTGCCGTCGAATGTTGTGTTGCAGGCCTATGCTACGCTGTTGGCGGCCATGGAAAATTGTTTGGCACAAACTCCCTGCCCCACCGTCTTGGGAGCTCAGCACGTTTATCCTATCAAGACCTCGAATGGCCACACCAGGATGTTTTACACGTGGTTATTGACCAATGTGACTTGGGCAGTCTGGGAGGGTCCCATGCGGTTCTGCTTGCAAAAAGGATTCCCACACTCCAGGCAAAGTTTCGGACCGCTCCTTGGGTCGGTTTCAGACTGTCACCCCGCTTCGGTGTGGTAGGACCCAGATTTGAAACGCTGGTGAACAACTCCTACAGAGGAGTATCCACCGCAGCTGCACGATATCAGCACTTCTCCATGGTGGACGGCCTTCTCCCTTCCCGCATTGGACAATCTGCGCTTCTCGACCCACAGAATTGAAGAGAGCGAGATAGCTGAGCTCAAGGCGTTTTTCGTGAGCGCGGCCCTTATGTCAGCGCGGACGCTCCAGAGATGGTGCCTGAGTTTGCGGCTCCCAGGGACCTCCTCGACCAGGCCCTCGGCTGTCTCCAGAACCACTCGTGTCTTTGGAAGCGAACACCGATCTTTTCGAGCGTTTCCTCCGAGAGCCTCTGGGGACGCCTCTTGAGACACCTAGAGACCTAAGTACGGGACCGCGTGCAATGACTATCGCTCCGCTTCCCCGTGTGATCTCGACTCGGCTTCCGCCCTCGGAAACAATTAATGGTGAAACCAAAATATACCGATACCGCTACTCCCCGGACCTCTGCCGGGGTGCGTTCTGATCAGAATCCCAGCCCTCTGGAGCGTGCAGCGAGGAGTGCCCCAGCCGTCAGTACCCCCCTTGGGGGGTATGTCTTCCTTACCTGCCACGCGCATGCAGCGCAGCCCCTATAACAGGTGAACAGGGGACGGGTGAAGGGGGAGGGAGATGAATGGAGCACGAGAGACATTAGCAGGAGGCCGAAGCCCACCCTCCGGTCCCCTCCCGCCCGAAGCCAACCCTTGTCCCACTCCCCCCCCCCTCGTGCCGCTGGCTGCGCCTGCAGGTGCGGCCCTCGTGCAAACTGATCTGAATGTGTGATCAGCGGCGGCCCTCTTGAGCTCGTCAGGTGTGACTGGAGACTTCGGGGGAGCAACAGTGCGCCAGCAAGGGAATGTGAACTTACCCGAGACGTACCCAAACCCGTCTCCATGCGAGACGACTAGTAAGTATATAAACGCCCCATACAAAAGGAGACATGGCGAGACATGCAGCACTCTGAAATGCTTCGCCAAACAACGTCGGGCCACGCGGGTCGCACACCTGCGCAAATCAGATCGCACAAGACACGGCGACGACAAACGCGACAAGAAACATAGAACGGGGGGTAGAAGCGGAGGAGGAGGAGCAGCAGGAGGGGGAGGAGGAGGAAGGAGGACGAGGATGTTGAAGGAAGGGGAGACAGACAGGTGAGAGCAACAGCGCCATGCGCTACCATGGCCTGGTTCACCCCTGCTGCTGCTGCGGGCGGCATGCTGCTGAGGAGAGGAGGGCAGAATCGGCCGCCAAGTACAGCGCCACGCAACACGGGGCGCTCTAGAGCTCTGAGGTCTATAATGCAAAAGCGCCGCGCACTAAATGACAGGCCCCCCCCCCAGGGGAGGCGCAGTTCGCAGCCACCCAGGGAGCCGCGAGGTCTCGCAGGGATTCGAGGAACTACCCACTCCGTTGGACCTCCAAGGAGCCCACAATGGCGACAGTTTCGCAAATCGCAGCCCCACCGGGGAGCCGCGAGGTCCCGCAAGGATCCACGTGCTTACCCACCCCGCCGGACCTCCCAGGAGCCCGCGAAAGCGGCTTCGCAGCCCGCGAAAATGGCAACAAATGCAAGGTTCGCAGCCCCCCTGAGAACCGCGAGGTCCCACAAGGATCCGAGTTACTACCAACTCCGCCGGACCTCCCAGGAACCCGCGAAAGCGGCGACAGTTGCGCAATTCGCAGTCCCACGCAGGAGGAGGGGGGAGGAGGAGGAGGAGGAGGAGGAGGAGGAGGAGGAGGAGGAGGAGGAGGAGGGAGGAGGAGGAGGAGGAGGAGGAGGAGGAGGAGGAGGAGGAGGAGGAGGAGGAGGAGGAGGAGGAGGACGGAGTGGAGTCGCGACTGTAGTGCTCTAGTCAAAACGAGAACCAACACAGGAGGGCTTGGAAACACTCTTGACTATGGCCCTGTGGCCTACATGCATGGCAAGCGTGGTGGCTGGATGCTCTCTCGCTCCGCTCGTCGTCCCTCCTCTCTGGTTCTGTCGCCTCCACAAAGCCCCTCGGCTGGGGCCGGGGACGACCAGCAGGGCAGGAAGGCTGCACACGCAGTCCTCGAGCGGCTCAAGGAGGTGGGGGGGGCGCGAAAAAACTCATCCAATCAGCTCGGGCGACGTCTCGGCCTCCGTCGTGTTCCGTGTTCGATTCGTGCCCAAGGGGTAGGACGAGGCAACGTTACGGGCGCTCTGGACTGTCGTACTCACGGAACGTAGCAATTCCCCGGCTGCTGTTCGCGTGACGGGCCCTTTCGTGATTGCCGATCCGATCCGATCCTGCTGCTACCTTTTCCCTTCATCGTTGTTGTTCATCCTCCTCCTCCTCCTCCTCCTCCTCCTCCTCCTCCTCCTCCTCCTCCTCCTCCTCCTCCTCCTCCTACTAAGACGAGGACGACGACGACGTCGACGACGTCGACGAGGCGACGCGAGAAGGCCCCAAAGAAGTCCCAAGAGAGGTCCCGAAGAGATTTGCAGGGCGGCCACTTCGGACCAGACACGGCCGCAGGGCGGCCCGACAGGCTCCAAGAGCGCCATCGTCACCGGGCAGGCCGAGCACCAGGCGGTCCAGACGCTGGACGTCCGGGTTGCACCACAGACACACCTGGCCAGCAAGGCTCCTGACAGGCTCTAACGGGCCCGCCCGAAATGGGAATGGAAAAATTGGTGCAACGCTTGTCCCAAACCGACAGCGGCCGCTGTTGGGCAGGCGGCCTTTTGCCTTCAAAGGATAACGTCTGCGGCGGCGCGGACAGCGGGTTCTGCTCAAAGTGAACAGGAACTGCTGTTGGGCACCGTACCCATTCTTTCCGTACCCATCTCGATCGTCCAGGCTCCAAGAACGCCCAAGCTTGCCCGGGCCCTTTCCCACAAGGCCCCATGGCGAGGGGTCCAGGCGCCAGAGTCGACCAGCAGCACTGACGCGAGGGTCTCTCAGTTTATGATGTTCTAGCCTACTTCAGCCTTCATCCATCACCAGAAAGAAGTTCGAGCACCAAGAAAATACCGAATATAGGGGGGGGGGTCCACGTGTCGGTCCCTGGGAGGCGATACTTACTCGTTCGACACTTCGCTAGCGGGTCGGCACGACACTGTTTTGATGCTGTTATGGGTGCTCGAAATTATTTCTGGGATTTGGTTCGAAGTACGACGGGAGCAACATAACTCTCGGAGGAGGGATGGGCACTCGAGGCCGCGCGCCTCGTTCCCCGAAGCCACGTGGTCCGAATATCAGCATGGTCGCGATCGACGCGCCCCAGGGAGAGGGCTCCAGGCGCCAGAATCGGCAAGCGCCACCGACGTGAAAGCCCCTCGGTGTAGGGATGGGCACTAGAGGCCGCGAAGCCACGGGAGCCTCTGTCCAGTCACCTCCACCGGGTGCACCCACCGAAGCGTCTTTCATCCCGCCCAGAAGAGGAGCACCATCTGGATGATGCCCAAGAAGAATCCGAACGTCAGGCCGGAGTCCACGAGGAACGCTAGCTCTTTCCGGCCAGCCTGCCAAGGCATAGGAAACCGGAAGGATGCGGCGGAGCAAGACGACGACGACGATGACTACGACGCACGAGGGTCATCACAAGCCACTCAGGATGGTATTACTCATGTTATACGACTGCTGCTACCGTTACCACCGCCTGCTACCGAGCACCGCGCCGAAAGCACACATTGGAGTGTCTCCAGTCGATCAGTCAGTCATGCCATACGCCGTAGCGCGTGGGCGAAACGAAATAACAGAATGCGTACTAGCCGGAGCCTGCGCTTTGCAATTACTGCGACGGCGCAGGCAAAATGAATGTACAACTGGCTATCTAGAAGGATCGGGAGGGGTAGGAGGAGGAGGAGGAGGAAAGGGAGGAGCAGGAGGGCCAGAAGAGGAACACGCAGCCTAAACCACGAATTTGTGCCAGGCAACTGGATCGCCAGCGCAACCCAACTGGAGCGTCTCCAGGTCCTCAAATCTCAGCACTGGGCTCCGAGCAAGGAGCGGCTGCTCCGAGGCCGCGGGCCCGAACATCCCAGCATCCGCGGGCGCTCCTGGGCGCTCCTGAGACCCGGCCCAGACCCTCGACGTCATGATTTTATTCGTAACGCCGACCCTGGAGGTCTCGACCCATTCCCTGGGACCCAGGTTTTCGTCCTGAACCGTTCTCTGACGGTCCCGAGGCCTGGTAGGGGCCCTCGGAGGCCAAAAATGGCGAGAAACCTCCTGTCGTGATTTCTGTTTGTGACTCGAGGGGAGCAGGGGATGCGGCTGGCGCCTCGGGAAGGCCCTGGGAAGCGCTCTCCAGGGGCCCCTCGACCTCCCACCGGCTTCACGGTGGAACCCCAAAGGGGCCCGTCCTGGAGAGCCGTCCCTGGAGGGCTCCCCTGGGTCGTGTGTCTGACGCCCTGAGGGACCCGCCCGGGCCCACAAAGCCTGTGAGCGACGATCGAGAAGTGGTCTTACGCGAGATGGCATGGCGACCTTACGCCGCGGCTTGCGCGGGCCGCCAGTGCGGCACGCCATATTGGCCACGAGGGCGCTTACGCGCGACCTGACGCCAATGTCGGCGCAGACGACCCCGTTGCTTGCTTCGCTCGTGTGAGATGCTGCAGGTCGCTCCACGACTGCCGCCGTGTCGCGCTTCGGTCCTCCGAAGCCGAGACGGCCCACGGGAGCCCCTGATATACCAGCCCAGGAGAGGGCCCCTGGAACCCCCAAGAGGGACCCACGACGAGGCCCCCGAGGCGGCACCAAGAGGAGCCCCCCCTAAGAGGGCGCCACCATCGCACAGCTGGGAGCCTCCCCCTTCAGGATGGGCCTGAAACTCCCCGGAGGCCCCCCAGGCCCCCCAAGGCGCACCCGAGTGACCCCCAAGGACCCTCCAAGTCCTGGGATTGAAAAACTTTGTTTGATTCGCGGGTCGAGAGCGCACCTCTTCCGGTCGAAGCTAAGCGGGCCGCGCACCTGGGATTGAAAAACAGCTCGCCACTGGTAATGTATATGCTACAGTTTCCGACTTCAAACGTTTTTAGCAGTTTTCGGAATTCTGGAAACCTATGGAGTCCCCTTGGCCCCCCCCCTGCCACAATCCTCCGCTACCAACCCTCCGTGTCTGCCCTCTACTACCATGTCTCCTCTCCTCCAGTTTCATCCCCCCGCCTTCCTCCCCGCCGCCTCCCCATCCTCGTTGCCCCCTCTCCCCCACCCCCCTGTCACATTCTCACGCCGATCTCCCTGCCGTCAGGAGCCCTCCTCGCTCCGACTCCATCCTCTGCCTGGCCTGCTGGATGCAGAATTTCCGCGCGAAGTCAGTGAGCCGTCGCGCATACGCCCTCCCCCCGACCCTTGACCATACCACGCGCCGCAGCGGGCCACGCCATGGTCAATCATTGGCATGTCACATGCTGGGGGCCGACGTACCCAGCCATACCGAGGACGAGCGCTCGAAAAATACGCAGCAACATGACATATGTATAGGGCGACGATATCTATACATGTTTCTGCTCCCTGGTCAGGCCAAGAATCACGTTCTCGCATTGGATGTCCTAACAATTTACTTGCGAATCGCGCTATCGCTCGAAACTTCCGTCATGATGGATTAACGCTTCAGCGACCCGCCCGCTCAACCTGGTCGTCCGGGCCCGCCCGCCCGACCTGCCAGTTAGGATCCGCCCGCCCGACCCGCCCGTCTGGTTCTGGCGCTGGTACTCCTGCTCCTAAACCTATTCCTGCAAATCTCTCTCGTGCTCCATCCTTGCCCCACCCCCTTGTCCCTTCCCTCCTCCCTTCCTTCGCCCTGTTTTAGGAGCTGCGCCAACCACACGCCGCAGGTAAGGAAGACATACCACCAAAGGGGGTACGATCGAGGACGAAGAGGGCGGACATCGAGGGCTCTGGGTATACGTGTAGAATGGCACGCGAGCAGATAAGAGCAAACGGTCTTGAAATGATTATTGTCCTTGAGGGGAAGGTTTGGGCGGAACCCCGAAACGCTTGAGCGTGAGCCTCAATTTCAAATGGAATGCAGCCGGCGCCGAGGCGAGAGCGCAAAAGCGGATATAGGGATATAGGGGGTCCAACAATAATATGTGTGCAATGCTGCATTTTGACAGCAGCAATCATTTTGAGACTGTTCGCACAGATTTGATCGCGTGCCATTCAAAATGTAAACCCCAACCCCTCACTCTTCATCTTCGATCGTCCCCCCCATACCCCTATCGGGGCTCTTTCTTCACGTAAAGATGACGCAGCCCCTAGCACAGGGGAAGGGAGGGAGGAGGGACGGGACAGGGGGGAGGGAGAATGATGGAGCACGAGAAAGAGATCAGCAGGAGGGGGGTCAAGAGCAGGACGGACGGGCCCAGACGACCAGGTCGAGCGGGCGGGTCGCTGAAGCATCATGACGGGAGTTTCGAGCGATAGCGCGATTCGCAAGTAAATCTTGAGGATATCCAAAGCGAGAGCATGATTCCTAAGTGTCGAGGGCGTGGCGTCCCCATCAATTGCGAGGAAATAGAACGAAGTCCAGTGCAAGCGAGGTTTTGAATAAATTGTGAAGAAATATCAGGCAGGAGCCGCTGTAGTTCTAAACCGTGGGCCACGAGCAAAGTCTGACGCGCAAGACTTCCCCTCGTAACAAACTGGTGCGAGTTCCAGGAGGAGGACGTTGTTTGAAAAAACATCAGGTGCACTTGATTGAGGGGGGGATCAACAATAATTATTCTTAGGGAATGAAAATTCGAACGACAAAGGCCGTCTCAGAAGGCCAGCCACTTCCCCTCGCCCCCTACCCTGCTCCCCCTCCCCCTGTGCGCCGCCCATTCGGGGCCCCAAAACCGTGTGGTAACGGACCGCATAGTGACCTCAGAACTCCCAACGACATCTCCGCGCGGTCTGTCACCGCACAGTCTTGCTGTGGTCGCCACACCGCTTGGGGGCCCCCGAGCCACGACGAGGACGACGAGGACGACGACGACGACGACGACGACGACGACGACGACGACGACGACGACGACGACAACCACGACGACCACGACGACCACGACGATGACGACAACGACGAGATCGACGACGAGATCGACGACGACGACGACGACGACGACGACGACGAGGACGACGACGACGACGACGACGACGACGACGACGACGACGACGACGACGACGACGACGCCGAGAAGGCCCCCACGCCCCCGCGACCGCGAGCGCGCCTTCTGGAAGAGCTGCCCCAAGAGCACCTCTCGAGCCGAGCCGAGCCGGGGGCCGCCGCGCGCGCGCCGCGGGCCGGGCGCCGAGGGCGCCGAGGGCGGGCAGGAAAGGACCCCTGCCCGGGAGCGGCCAGCGCCCCCGGGGCAGAGCGCCCCGACGCCCGCGCGGGGGGCGGGCTGGCGGCGCGGGCCGGCGCCCGCGTGCGCCCCCCGCCGGGCCCCGAGAACCTGGCGCTGCCGCTTGTTCGAGCCTCCGCCCTCCTCCCTCCCTCCCTCCCTCCCTCCCTCCCTCCCTCCCTCCTCCCTCCTCCCTCCTTCCTCCTCCCTCCTCCCTCGCCTGGTGTCGGGCCCCAGGGCCCTCCTGGAGCGGTGCGGCTCGAAAGAGGACGCAGAGAGACGGGGGGTCCGGGGCGCTCCAGTCGTGGTGTTTCTGCGACGGGGTAGCTTTGTCGCAGCGTCGGCTCTCAGGGTCCCGGGCGCTCCCTGGCGCTCCCAGGCGCGGGCCTCGGGACCCGAAGGTGCGTCCTCGGTCTCTGGCCGGCCTGGCCCAGTGGGCCGCCAGGGAGACCACGGACCCCTGTGCGGAGCTCGAGGTGGGAGGCGCTGCTGGTCGCCTGGCGTGCGGAGCTGCCCTGCACCACCGGCGCCTCCCGTGCGGGTGGGCCCGCGGCGTCGGCGATGCGTCGAGGGGGGCGCCGAGTGCGGTGGGACACGGCCTCCCGAGCCGCGGCTGCCCTCGCGTAGGAGCGGACATCAGCGAGGGCTCGGGCCTTATCCGTGCCGCCGAGGACACGGAGGTTGACCGGGGAAGGGCAGAAGCCCTGACATGCGACCCGCGAAAGGCATGCGGGAGAACACAGCTGGACCCTGGAGGGGCACGAAGCGTTTGCGGGGTGTGCCGAAGCGCGGCGCCGCCATGCGGGCGCCCTCGCTGGGACTGCGGGCGGAGCTCCCCGTGGGGCACTGTGAGGGGTGTGCAGGAATGGGCGCGGCGCCGGCATGGCGGGCGGCGCCCTCGATGGGCCTGCGGGGGAGCTCCGTGTGGGGCGTGCAGAAATAGGCTAAGCTCCACCATGCAGGCGTATTCGCTGGAGGCGCAGGTGGAGCTCCCTACGGGGGGACGAAACGCGTGAGAATGGAGCGCCGCGCCGCCACGCGGGCGCCCTCACTGAGGCCGTAGGCGGGGCCCCCTTTGAGCGGCTCGGTCACCTCGCCGGGGCCGCAGGTGGAGCCCCTACGGGGCACGGTACGTGCGGAGGGTGCGCTGAAGTTGGGCGGTGGCTGACAGGTGATCGCGCCCCCCCGCCGACGGCGCTTGGGTCTCGCTCTGGTTGACCGCGAGGCCGAGTCTCGTGAGGCTGTCAGTTGCGAGCCGCATGCTTTCACCCGGGAGCTCCAGCGGGGCAGTCACGTCCACGTCCGGCAACAGGGTACACGTCGACATGCGGCGCCGCCGTGCGGGCCCCATCACTGGCGTCGTAGGTGGAGCTCCCTGTGCGTGTGCACGAGACGTGCGAGGGGGGCGCTGACATGAGCCAGGAGAGCGCAGCGCAGGAGGAGAGGGGGAGGAGAAGAAGCAAGGCGCGCGTCGTTGAGGATTCAAAACGGGACCAAACTCGACACAGGAGGGTTGGGTCTGCTTTTTCCAACTGGACCGCTCCCTTGGGTGTCACCTGTTTTCGTTCTTGCACTGACCTTTGGTGTCAGCGCGGTGCCAGCGCGGAGCGGTCCCTCGAGCCCCCTCGAAGATGGTGCATCCGGGTCCACTGCTTGGAACATCCCAGGACCGTTTCAGGTTCATGATGTGCGTGCCCGCTCGAGAATGCTGCCGCGCCCCGTAGGAAGATGATCCTATCCACTTCGGGTCACCAGATATCAAAAAGTGCTGTGGGACTGAAGGCCTGTCACCGCTCCTGCTCTCCAAGGTCCCAGAACCGCTCCGGGACTCCAAAGACCAGAAAGTGTAGCAGGGGCATGCAGCTCGCACCGTTCCAAACACCCAGGTCCAGAAAGAGCGACAAGGGCTTCGGACTCCCACCATTCCAGGCCCCCGAAGTCCAGAGCGCGCGGTAGGGGTGAATGATTCTAAAAACTCCGAGTCTCCCATGTCGTCGTCAAAGTCTGGAGGGGCGATTCTCACCAATCCAGATCGCCGAGGTCCAGAGAGCATGTCAAGGGCTTCGGGCTCTCACCACTCCAGATCTCCAGTTCCCACCACTCCACGTCCCTGTGATCATAAGAGCATGGCAGGGAGATCGGAATCGCATCACTGCAAATCCCCCACCCCCCCCCAAAAAAAACATAGGCATGCATGTCCCATCGTGCAAATCTCCCAGAATCTGACATCTCAACCTGAAGTACACCCCCAAAAAATATTGGAATGCTGAAAAATCCGCAGTGGAGCGTCACCATCCTGCCATCAGCGTGCTTCGCTGAAATCCGCCACCGTACCTTCAGCACGCACGGCAAGTTCGTATCGTGACGACCCTGGCGTTGGTTTCTGACACCGCGCCGATCGTTCATCCTTGAACGATCGGCGGATTTCCGATCGCCCGATTGTTCCATGTACTGGGCCACTGGCGGCGTTCAACCTTGAACGCCCGCGGCGGGGTCGCCGCCGGTCGACACGACGCGAACCTACCGAGGTGAAGTGCTCCACGGCTCATGCAGCCCTGAGAAATGAAGAGCTGCAAAGCTTCAGGGCCTGGACCGCCGGTTTCACAGGGATTCCCAGGGACTGCCTGGGATTCCAAGGGACTGCCACAGGGATTCCCCGGGATTCCCCAGGGTTCCCCGGGGCAGCGCAGCTGAGACGGTGCTGAGAGGGCGCCGAGTCGCCGCACGATCGGTCCAAGACGCCCACGACGGTCCCCAGTCGGCCGCAGAAGCGCCCAGGACGTCCCGAGCGGCCTCCAAAAGAGTCGCCCCAAGAGGGCACCAGGAGGCCAGAATCATTGTTTTTCCCTTTGGCAGTTCAATGCTTTGGGTACCCTCGACTTTTCGAGCTCCCGACGCTCCACGAGGGTCCAACAGGCCCTCAAGACCGCCCAAAGACGTCGCAAGAGGCCCCCAAGAGGGCCCCCAGACGGCGCAAGAGGGCTCCAAGACTGCCCCAGAGGCGCCCAGGACGGCCCAAGAGGGCACAAAGATAGTCCTACGAAGGCCCCAAGAGGGGGAACACGAATGGAAAGTCCGAGTCTTCCGCCCCAAGAGGCACCAAGGAGGCGTCAAGAGGCCCCCGAGAGGCCCGAAGAGACCCCCGACAGGTCCTCATGACGCCCCAAGAGACCCCGAAACGGCTCCTAAGAGGCCTCCAAACGGCTCCAAGAGGCCCCCGAGAGGCCCCCCGCGACGTCCCAACGAACACCCTAGAGGCATGTGACCCATGACCCAGTGGATAGCTTCATGTGACACCAAGGGAACAGCTTACCAAATCTCTCTCTCTCTCTCTCTCTCTCTGCGGAGCGAGCGCTGCTTCCCACTGTCGTCGGGCAGCGAGCGGTTGATGGGCAGAGCGCTCAGCGGAGCGCCATCCGCACTACATCTGAGTCAGCTCGCCCACCTCCGAGCGGAGCGAAGGCGGGCTACGCCTTCCTCGCCTCGCGCGCAGCACGGCGGAGACAACTCCCTCTCCGTTGCGGCATGGCCTGGCTGGGGTCACTGCGTGGCGCCCCACTGGCGCCACAAGCTTAAATCAGTCTTTCGGACCCCTGGAGACCCCTGGAGGGGCTAGCCAAAAACTCGCGCCCCCAGGAAGCCCCATAGAGCCAAGGAGATCCCAGGAGCTCCCAGGAGCCCCTCTCCTCAGCAGGACACACGAGCCCCCAAGAGGCCCCAGGAGCTCGCCGGATACGGAGACGCCCCAGTGAAATCCGGTCACAAACTGGGGGCCCCCAGGAAGCCCCCCAAGAAGGCCCAGAGCCCCAGGATGGAGGCACAGGAAGCCCTAGAAGGCTCCAGAGAGCCTCAGGAAGTCCCAAGGAGCCCCAAGGAACTCCCAGGAGACCCCAGCCAGCCCCAGGACGGTCCAGGAAGCCCTGGGGAGCCCAGTAAGCCTCAGAGAGCACCACGCAGCCCCAGGACGGCCCAGTAAAGTCCCAGGGAGCCCCAGGGAGCTCCCAGGGAGCCTCAGCAAGCCCCAAGGAGCCCCAGGGATTCCCATCAAGCCCTAGGAAATCTCAGGGCAGGAGCTCTCAGGCAGCCCAAGGATGGCCCAAAAAAACTCAGGGAGTTCAAGAAAGCCCCAGGGCCCTCCATGAAGCTTACAGAAGCCTCTGGGAGACCCAGAAGACAAAAAACCTGTAGGAGATCGCAAGAAGCCCCAAGTAGCCCCAGGAGGTCCACGGGAGATGCGACGCCATAAGAGGAACCGCGTGGACTTTTGAAGATGTCGGAGGAACCTGAAACAAACCCGACGATCCCTAAGAAATCATATCCTTCGGAATCCGCAGAAACTCCCGGAATGCAGAGGAATCCTACGGAATCGAAGAGGAACCCTGAAGGGATTTGAGGGACCTTGCGGAATCCTGCAAAATCCTTAAGCATTCTCAGGAACCCCGAGGGGCCAAGAAGAGTCCTGAGGAACCCTACAAGATCCCGAAGAATCCTGACGCACGCATGGCACCTCGCACCGTGTACGCTTGGACCACCTACCGGCGACCCTGTGGAAAAACGAATTCCCCTCCAACTGGAAATGCGCTTATCTTTCGATACGTGCAAGACTCCTACGCTTCACAGGAATCCGCACCATTGGATAATCACACAATGCCAAGCTGCTCGAAGTGGTCTCTCAGCAGCCCAGCTCGCTCTCTGACCCTCGACTCAATCCAAGAAAAGCCTGATACCAGGCGAGTGTGACACGCAGTTGGGAGTACCCGAAAGTATAACGACCCTGATACCAAGCCGCTCCAGATGGCTTCACCCGCTCCCAGATCCATCCCTCGACGAGCACGTTGAGGAAGAGGAGGGGAAGGGGGAAGGAAGAGTGAGTGAGAAGAAAAAGCGGGAAGGGGGGAGGAGAGCGGTGAGAATGGGAGAGGGAGAAGGGACAGGGAAGGAGGAAGGAGGGTAGAGGATGGAGTGAGGGAGCGAGGGGGGGAAGTGAGGAGTGAGGCATGAAGAGAAGGAGGCAGGGGAACTGGAGGAGAGGAGCAATAAAAGCAGGGGGCAGGAGGCAGAGGAAGGGGAGTGGGGGAAAAGAGGGAGGAGCGAAAGGGGGAGAAGGTGGGGGCGTCGACGGAGGAGGCGGGGCCGCTCAGCTGGATTGCAACAAGCGTCCGACCCGAATGCTCAGCACCACCATCATCATCATCATCACCACCACCACCATCATCATCATCATCATCATAATCATCATCATCAGCAGCAGCATCATCATTATCGTCATCATCATCTTTATCAGCATCATCAACAACAACAGCAACAGCAACAACGACAACGGCATCATCAGCATCATCATCATCATCATCATCATTATGATCAGCAACAGCATCATCATCATCATTGTCGTCATCAGCATCATCGGTATCGTCATCATCATCAGCATCCGCATCATCAGCATCAGCAGCAGCATTGGCATCATCGGCAGCCTCATCAGCAACAGCAGCATCCTCATCATCAGCATCAGTATCATCATTATCATCATCAGCAGCAGCAGTATCAGAATCGTCGTCATCGTTATCGTTATCGCAATCGTCATCATCAATATCATCATCATCATCATCATCATCATCATCATCATCATCATCATCATCATCATCATCATCATCATCATCATTATCAGCATCAGCATCATCACCACCATCATCAACGTCGTCATAGTCATCGTTCTCGTCGTGGTCATCGTCTTTGTCACTCTTCATCAGCACCATCAGCATATTCATCCGCATCATAAATCATTAGCAGCATCACCATGATCATCATTATCATCATCCGCAGCATCATCAACAGCAGCTGCAGCATCAGTCGCATCATCATCACCATGATCATATCTATCATCGCCATCATCACCATCAACAACAACAGCATGGGCATCATCGTCATCATCGCGGTCGTAGTCATCGTCATCGTCGTCATCCCACCTACGCCCCCTCCTCATCCTCCTGGCGATCATCATCAGCAGCAGCAGCATTAACATCCTCACCATTCTAAGGAGCGACATCATCATGAGCGGCAACTGCAGTACAGTATAATCATCATCAGCATCATCATCATCATCATCATCAGCATCGTCATCATCATCATCATCACGATCAGCATAGTATCATCATCATCAGCAGCAGCAGCACCAGCAGCATCGTCATCATCATCGTCGCCGTCGTCGTCATCGTCATCATCGTCATCATCAGCAGTAGCGTCCGCATCATTATCAGCAGCATCATCAGCATCGCCGTGATCCTCATAATCCGCGGCGACACCATCAGCATTATCATGAGCATCAGAATGAGCATCGTCATCACCAATCATCATAATCGTCCTAATCCGCATCCTCATCCGCATCATCAGCAGAAGCATTAGCATCACCACCATCATCATCATCATCATCATCATCATCATCATCATCATCATCGTCATCATCATCATCATCATCATCATCATCATCATCATCATCATCATCATCATCATCATAATCATCATTAGCAGCACCATCACAATCAGCATCGCCATGATCAGTATCATCAGCAGCCGCATCATCCTGATTATCATCAGCAGCAGCATCATCATTGTCGTCATCATCCGCGTCATCATCAGCAGCATCAGCATCTGCAGCAGCATTAGCATCGTCTGCATCCTCAGCATCATCGTTATCGTTACCAGTACAACCATCATCATCATCATCATCATCATCATCATCATCATCATCATCATCATCAGCATCATCATCATCATCATCATCATCATCATCATCATCATCATCATCATCATCATCATCATCATCATCATCATCATCATCATCATCATCATCATCATCATCATCATCGTCATCATCATCATCATCATCATCATCATCATCATCATCATCATCATCATCATCATCATCATCATCATCCTCATCCTCATCCTCATCCTCATCCTCATCCTCATCCTCATCCTCCTCATCATCCTCATCATCATCGTTGTCATCATCATGATCATCATCATGTATCACCATATCTCATCATCAGCAGCATCAGCATCAGCATCAGCATCAGCATCATCAGCATCAGCATCAGCATCAGCATCGGCATCATAATCAGCATCAGCATCAGCATCAGCATCAGCATCATCACCATGATTATCTTCATTATCATCCTGGTACTCCTCCTCCTCCCTCCTCCCTCCCCCTCGTCCTCATGCAGGGAGCCAGGGCAGGCTCTCCCCTTCCACCCCTTCTCCCTCTCTCCTCCACCCCACCCACATTACTCGATATGAATACGACTCCTGTCGCTCCCCCGAAGACGGCATGAGAGTCAAGCGTCTTCATCCGCATTTCGTTTTTTGCATACCGGATGGGTCCGAACTGTTGTCTCTTGTCCAATCGAAACGTTCTCGGTCAGTTCAAAATGGTACTCCCGCTGCAGCGTGGGCCTCCTTTAAGGATTGGGGCTGTGCCCTCGTCTTTCAGAATGGCGCTCTCGCCCCAGCGCGGTCACTTGCCTGGATCAGAGTCCTTCCTCATCGTTGTCGCCCTCGTCCTTTCCCCTCCTCCGCCTTCCTCTGGTCATCCTGCTCCTCCCGCTCCTTCCACTCCAGTTCCTGCTGCTGCTGTTCGTCCTCGTCCTCCTCTTTCATAATCCATCGCATTGTCCTCCTCCTCCTCATCACTATCATTCTCTTGCTCATCCGCCACCTCCTCCTCCTATGTACGCAGCCCCCCTTGTTCCGAGCGCACTTGACACGATGGGGTTTTTGTTGGAGTTCCAGGATCGCTAGGACACGCGTCCGCGGATAGAAGAAAAAGGTGCAATGGGAAGGAATGGATGGGAGGGGTGGGATGCCAGATCTGGCGCGAGAGCACCAAGCTTGACAATTGCACAATATGAACAGACCTCATGCTTAAACAACCACCGTCGTAACACGAATGCCGGCCAGTTCAAAGCTCATTCGAAGCATAACTTGTTGAGACAAGGGGCGCAGGGCTCCGACAAAGCGGTTGCACCTGAGAACCGGCTTTTTCCTCACCAAGCGCTTGGAAAAGGGGCACAAGCACACACTCTCCTCTCCCCCGAAGACACAGGTGAGGTGTCCTGGCCTCCTCCGCGCATTGCTTTTACACACAGCATGCCACCGAATTGAAAATGAATGTGTGTTTCCAATCTTGACGTTTTCAACTATTTCAGAATGGCGCTCCCGCTACAGCGTTGGCTTCATGTTCCCGTTCTCAGTCCTTCCAAATCATATCCCCGCTGTAGCGTTGACCTCATTTCATTGTTTCGATCATTCCAGATCGTGCGCCTGCTGCAGCGTTGGCTTTGTTCCCGCGCTTCCAGTCTTTCCAAATCGTGCTCCAATCGTGCTCCCCCTGCAGCGCTGGTCTCATGTCCACGTTTTCGGTCCTTCGAAATCGTTCTCCCGCCGCAGCGCAGATCTCATGTTGCGCTTCGCGCTTTCCAAACCGTCCATTTGCATCTCCCGCCCTGTGTCAGTTCTGGTTCCCCTCTGACCTTATTGTCCACATGAATCGAGTTCTCGACACGAGGCCATGCTATGCCGTGCTGTACCATGCCTCGCGTACTCTCTCGGGATCATTGCCCTGTTCGACATCCGACCCTGCGAATAGCGAGGAGATCCACGCAGCGGCAAGGGATGGGGAGGGAGGGGTAGGACGTCAGATAGGACGCTTGCGCACCTAGCGTGCCTCCACCCCCTCCGCTCTCCCCCTTCGGCTCTCACTCTCCCCCATCCTCCCCTGCCCCCTCCCTCCCCATGTCTGCTCCCCTCCATCCCTCTCTCTGTCCTCTCCTGCCTCGGTATCCACTCTTCGCCCTCCCGTGGACGTATCGAGGAATGACCTCAGGGGAACTCAGCTGCAGAGGGTCAGACCTTGTCGCGGAGGAAGGCGCTGGAGACCACGTGATCCAGGTCGAGGATCTTGTCGATGTCCGCCTGGGCAGGCGTGCGCGTCAGCCGCGCTGGGCCACGGAGCGAGAAAGAGAACAAGAAATAGATTGCAAAGCAAAATTACGCTGCGAGTCACAGGAGTCACGTGGCCGTGGGTGGCTCAGCGCATCAGCCCTTCAACAACGATCGCCTCTTCCCGTTCGGGGGAGGCTTGTCCCTGCCTCTGCCCCATCAGGGGCCTGGACCAGGGACTCCGCCTGCCCCTCCCCCCCCAAATCCCCTCCCTGGCACGAGAGAAAAAGGGTCTTGGCGGAAGCGGGTCGTGAACCCCGGGAACCTCTCACGCGACCCAGCTTTTCATTCTCTGCTTCTGATATTGCAAAAATTCTCTGACGGCCACCCGGTGACCCCAGGGGAAGGCACCGCACCAAGCCGCAAGAAATAAGTAACATGGCTCTGCCACGCTTCTCAGCCCCATCGGGAAGTCTCGTGAAGATCACAGTGGATCCGCTCGCATGGCGCCGCTGCGCACGGGCGGGGTCCTTACCGGACCATGTGACGGGATGGCTCCAGGGCCCAGAAGGCGCCAAGTGCCAGGCTAACGCTTCAGGTTGCTGGCTGCGTTATCGTTTCACCCAAAGTGGGGGGAGGGGGGGGGAGTCTGAGTATCTTCTCACGGTTGATATCTCTGAAGTCCGCGCGAAGTTCTTGGATTGGCGCTGGAACCCCCTCCCTAGCACGTGGAGCGCGCCAGGGGTGGCGCCGGAGGCGCCGCCAGGGAGGGGGTTCTAGCGCCGATCCAAGGAGTCCGCGCGCACCCTCCAAGAAATTGTTTATGCCGTTTTTGGTTTTTCGATTCTCGCTGACAGCCCCCCATCCTCTGGGGTCTGCACTGGGGACCAGGACAGACGACTCACCCAGGCCTGGTTGTGTGCTGGGAGCCGCCTGACTCCGCACACGTGTATCAAAACTGTGCCCTGGCAGCGCGGCCGAGATTCGGCAGTTTCCTGGGCCCCTCACGGGAGAGGAGGAGGAGGAGGAGGAGGAGGAGGAGGAGGAGGAGGAGGAGGAGGAGGAGGAGGAGGAGAAGGAGGAGGAAGAGGAGGAGGGGGGGGGGGCGGAGGAAAGGGAGGAGGGCGGACCAGGGACCCCCTCCTCCTCTGACCACCCCCTCCACGGGCCCCCTCGCGGCGCCGCCGCCCTCGGCCCTCTCCGCAGGGCTGGGCGTGGCAGCCAGCGCTCCCCCGCGGGCCACCCGCCGAGGCGCACGAGCTCTCGCCGCCGCCGCCGAAGGCCCCTCGAAGACCGCGCACGCGGGCGGAGGAGAAGAGCAGGGGGCCACATGCGAACCCGACCCCTACCCCCCACGATTTCTGAGGGGAGGGTGGGGTTCACTTCGTTCGGGAGCTACCGAGCCCCCTATAAAGATGAAGGGAAACCGGGGAGCCCACTCGATCGTTGAAGTGGGAAGGCGCCCAAGGGAGATTGGAATCAGAGGATCCGAAAGTACCTGCTCTAGTATACTTTCAACGACCGACGAGTACGCACCCCTGAGATGTAAGCGTCGCAATCTTGCCACCCCAGGCGTGGCCGCCCTTGGTGCGGGCCTAGGAAACCTCACAGATGGCTCTGGCTCGAGGCGTGCTGCCGAGAGATGGGGCCCAGGGCTCCGGTGTTGATGTCTGACGACGTTGAGTTTGTTGGACCACCAAAAAAAAAACGGCACCACAACACCTACGGCCCCACAGGGGTTAGCGTATACCAACAAATCTTGCGTGGGCTTTTGCGTAGTTCACGCTAGGGCCCCCGATGGGCCGTAGCGCAACATGGAGGGCCGTAGGTAGGGTAGTGTCGTTTGTTTTATGGTCGAAGTGATGTTTGACGATGTTGAGTTTGTCTCACGACGTCGGACGCGGGCAGCTTGCACGCGATTGTCGGAGCCCTCGACCCGGTTTCTGGCCCGTCGCTCCACAGGGGCCAGAGTACATGGGGGCTGGAGGATCGCACCGCAGCGCCGACGCGTCGGCGATGCAGCGGCGACGGCGCGATGGAGACGACCGGGCTCCGAAACGCTCCGCATCGCCGCCACATCGGCGATGCATCGGCGGCTCCCCTCCACCAGCACGCCTCGGGGAGGGCTCCCCGGAGCCCTGGGAGGAAGCACCATCCCACGGGGAGGACCACGCGCCCCGCCCTCGCGGGGAGGCGGCCACGCGTGCTCCCACGAGGGAGGCGGCACAGCATGCCCCCATCTCTGGGGCCTCCTCCGCCCGCCACCCGCAGGGGCCGTCCGCGCCGTCCTCTCACGGCCAGCCGAGGCAGTCCAGGGCTACTGGCGGCCTTGCGAGGCTACCTCACGCCGGTCGAGAGGCCACCCGAGGCTGCCCAGGGCCGTCCGAGGCTGTTTGACGCCGTCCGAGGCGTGCGAGGCCTCGTGGAGGCCAGAGAGCGCAACGATCGTGAGACCCAACGGCGGTCACAAAGAGCACCTCTGCGCAGCGCGGCTGGGCGGCCGGGCCACCTGCATCTTCTTCACCACGTCTACGAGCACGCGATCGAGCTGTGGCCTGTGGGCCCCCCTGCAGACTCCGCCCCCCTTTCTCGCTCCTCGGCTCCTCGCTGTCCTGTCTGTTTCTGCCCCTTGCCTTGCCTGCGTTTCCCTGTCGGCCCGCCCCGCTGTCCGAATAAGAGATGCGGGGGCCCGCGCTGCCACGCTGGCGAATAGCCGGACGTGACGCTCAAATTTCTTCGGCATTTGCTGACAGGTATTTCACTTCATCATTTAATGTTGGATCCATGGCTCACTTCGCTGAAACGTCTGCGTGGCATGGCTGCGACCGTTTAGGTCTCTCTGATCGTTTATGCCCATGCCCACCCGCTGCGACTGTAAGCCCGGTAGCTGCGACCGTGTAGGTCCCTCGGCGGCCAAGCGGCGACCGTTCAGGTTGCCGCCGTATTTTTCCCAGGACTCGGGGAATGTGCGCATGGCGTTGCGTTATGCAAAGCCACGCACCGAAATGCCACGCGATGCAAAGCAATACAAAACGTTTCCAAACAAAGCCATTCAATGCAATGTATGAAGCAATGCAGTGGAAACCAAAGCACAGCAACGTAAAGCAGTGCAAAGCAATGCAAAGCGGTGCAACACAACGCAAACAAAGCAATGAGATTCAATGTAAGGCAATGCAAAGCAATGCAAAGCAACGCAAAGCAATGCAAAGCAATGCATAGCAATGCAAAGCAATGCCAAGTGGCGCAGGCCCGGGCGGAGACGGGCCAGCGACGGCGACGGGCCAGACCGACGGGCAGGCCCAGAGCGACGGGGCGGCGACGGCGACCTCATAGCCGCCAGACCGATGGGCAGGCCCAGAAGACGGGCGGCGACGAGGCGGAGACTGGCCTGCGACGGCGAACGCACAGCCGCGGGCCTGCCGACGGGCAAGCCCAGTTCCTTAGAAAACAAGTCAGAACCCTTGAGTGAAAGCACTGTTTGGGGAATACAGATGCACCTTCGTGCGTGTGTGTTGTGTAAGCTATGTCACTACGTGGTGCAATATATGTGGTGCACGGATACAAATAAAGGGTATAAACAATGTGGTGCACCGTGTGTGGTGTAATGGTCCAATGTACGTGGTGCAAACTGTATGTTGCAATAGATGTGGTGCAATTCATGTGGGGGGCGCTCTCTACGTGATGCAATGTATGTGGTGAAAGCTACGCGGTGGAGTATATGTGTGAGTTATGTGGTGCCATCTGTGTGGTGCAAACTACGGAAGCGCACTCTTTGCGGTGCCGCGACGCGGCGGCGGCGACGGGCTGCGACGAGGGGGCGACGGGCGGCGACGAGCAGCGACGTGGCGGCGACGGGGCGAGAACACGCCGGCCGGGGCGACACACCAGCCCAGCTGCGGCGGCGGCGACGGGCGGCGACGAGCGGCCACGGGGCGGCGACGGGGCGACTCGAATCCGGCCGGGGCGACACAACAGCCCAGCTGCGGCGGCGACGGGCGGCGACGAGCGGCGACGGGGCGGCGACGGGGGGAGAACAAGCCGGCTGGGGCGGCAGACGAGCCCAGCTCCTCTGAAGTCAAGCAGAACCCCAAGTGCAAGCATCTTGGGGAATGTCATAGAAAGCCGTGCGACATCCTGTGCTGTCATGTTTGGGGAGGTCCAAGCCACACCGCTACTGGCGGGCGCATCCCAGGCAGCGAACAGCTGGGCAGCAACTTCAAGTGCTGCTGGTGACTGGCGGCCTACTGCGACACTCAGGGCTAGGCCTTATGAGGTTAAAAGGGGCTAGTGTCAGAAACCAGACGGGACTCAGTGCTGGTTCGGGTAGGGGGGGCTAGTGTTGGGAACTAGCGCTGGCGGCAGTCAGGGCTAGCGGCGGCTGGTAGGGGCTAGTTTTGCGAACTGGCGCTGGCAGCAGTCAAGACTAGGTGTACTAGCGGCGGTGGCTAGTAGGGACGTGTGTCTAGAACTATCGCGGACGGCATTCAGGGCTAGTTGAGCTAGTGGGAAACTAGTACGTGGGGTCTGGTGTCGAGAGCCAATGTTGGCTGCAACTAGGACTACTGGGGTCGATGGGGGCTAGCAAGTGTCGGGTACCAGCGCTGGTGGCACTCAGGACTGGCGCTGGCAATCAGTGCTAGTAGTACGGGCTGGAGTTCCTTCCCCAACCCGCCAAGGTGATTGCCCGATAGCGGAGTGATGAAATGATCTAGCTGTCAGATAGGCGGTGTTCCGCGCTGCTGCGCTGGCACGGTAGCGGGGTTTGCCGCACGCAGCTTAATACGAAAGAGCCCCTCAATGCATGCACTGCAGCGGGAGAGTCCGGGGAGAAGCTCGGGACGTTGACGCTCGGGGACAAGGGCGTGGACAGCGAGCCGTGCCGAGGCGTGGTGGGCCAGCACAAGCGGAGCGACGCGCCATGCAGAAGTTCCCACCCCACCGCAGCTCGTGCTGGTCCGAACGATCCGCATTCTGGCAAGCCTCCAAGGGACTGGTGTCGGGCACCCGTGGGGGGGGTAGCCGTCGGCGTGGGCCCGTGTTGAGCTGGTCGCGGCGAGGCTCTCGGATCCAGACGTCCAGCACGGCCGCCTGCGCTCCTGCTGCACGGGGCAAGGGGGCCCTCTCGGCGCAGGCGCCGTGAGGGGGGGACAGCGAGAGCAGACAAGGCGGTGCCGCAGACGCCCACGACGACTGCCAGCAGGAAGGGAACTCACTGAGTTCTCATCCCGCAAGACCTCATCTGTTGATTTACCGAGAAAGGACCCCTAACCCTTTGGGAGGGGACCTAAGTTAGGAGGGCCAGGAACATCAGGGGTAGGGGGTCTTTTCTGCAGGTGTATCGAACCAAACCGCCCAGATGTAGTATCCCTTGTGTGAAGACGGGGACCTCAGTGAGGCCACGTCCTCACGTCTTCGCTATGTTTGTAGGGTTAGGAGTTCTTATCCCCTCGATGAACTGTTGCTAAAACTCGAAGAAAACCATGTAAGCACTGACTTCCGAAGGCTCGCGCGGATGTCCGGGATTTAAGCTGAACCCCCCATGCCTGGCGCTAGGAGCGCGCCAGGGGCCGCTCCGGAGGCGCCGCAAGGGGGGTCCAGCGCAGATCCAAGAAATCCGCGCGGGTCTTCGAAACTTCATGTCCTTTGTTTCTCCTCGAAATCAAGTCTGCAGGTGGGGTAATTACGTTCCCTCGTGTGGGATACTTTCAGATTTTGTTTCCAAGGTCCGTTGGGCTCCTGGGCAAGAGTTGCTGCTTCTCGTCTAAGCGGCCGCCCCCTCGAGGGCATGCAGGGTTGACCTGACCCTTGACCTATTCCTCGAGATGTGCCCCCCTTCCTCCTGCCTCCAACCGCCTGACACAGACGTGGAGATGCCCAGCTCCTGCCCAGGGGAGGCGGCGGCCTGACGACCGCGATCCAGGCCTCGCCCCAGGCGGCCTTCGTCTGGATCGCCTTCGACACCTCTGCCGCGCCCGCGCCCCCTCTCCTCCGACGCTCGTGGCACGGGCCCGCCGGGCTCTCGAGCCCTTCCGCGGCGCTGGCCCCTCACACCGAACACGCCATCCAATGTGCCCCTTCTGACGGCCCTGGGGGCCCGGAGGAGGCTCCACGGCGCCCCTGCGAGCAGCGACACCTGGGGGAACTGTACTCCTGACCGTCCCCAGGACACAGATCGTCTCGCGATCTCTCGAGTGAGCCGACACCGTGGGGCCTCCAAGGGGGCAAGGATCAAAGCTGCCCGAAAGGAGGAGACGGAGGAGAAGGGGAGAAGAAACGAGGATGAGGACGGAGGAGAAAGGGTGCTTTCCAGCGCAAGGACATACATCGGGGATGCGCAGGGAGGACGGAGGGTGGAGGCTTCCAGAAGCCTCCGAAGGCCTCTGGAGGTCTCCGGGAGCCCCACGAGGCCTCCAGAGGCTGCCTCAAGAAGTCTCCGGAGGCTCAAAATATCCAAAAACATCAAACAACCTCAAAGGAGCAGGGAGGAAGGAGGAAGGAGGGAGCCCGCCAGGGAGCGCGCCAGACAAAGGAGGAGGAGGAGGAGGAGGAGGAGGAGGAAGGGGAGGACGAAGTCCACTTCGCTGCTCAACGCTGCCAAGAGGAGGGGGGAGGTGGGGGGTGGGGGGCGGTGGGTGGGTGCCTGCCTCCTCGACCCCCTCGACGGGCCGCGGGCGCCGCGGCGGCGGGGGCCGGGGCCATGCGTCCCAGAGCGTGCGCAGCAGCAGGAGGAAGGAGGATATACAGGGCAGCTTGTAATACATAGGATTGTAACAAAAAAAACTTATGGGATTTTTAATACATGATTGATCTATGAATACATGTATGCATGAACTCACCGTTGTTTTGAATACTGAATCCCTGCATTTTTAGTACATGATCCGCACGCGGAGCATGTATTAAAAACGGCACTGTAGACACAAATCCCAGGATTCCCCATAGTTCTCCTTATTTTCTGGATGTTCGTCTTCCCCCCACGTCCCATACTTTCCCATATCTTCCTGGGAGTCGACGTTTGCTGGTGTCTGTGTTCTTCCCCTCCCGAGGATGAGCCGACAGAGAAGGGTGCACAAAAAAATGCTACGCCGTCGGGGACGCCTGCCCTGGGGCGCCTGGAAGGGTTATACCCCGACGTGCCGCCGTGGGGGTATAAACACGCCAGCCGCCCTGGGGCAGGCGTCTACGACGGCGGGAGAGTTTATTTGATACCGATGATCGTCCGCTGGGAGGAAAGGGCGACGAGGGAGGAGTTGTGGCTTGACCGTCCCCAGCCCTCTGCGCATCGGCAGACTTACGCTAGCGCCTGGAGCGGGGAGCGCGCATGAGCGGGCCAGCAGGGGGCCTCGCACCAGCCAGCAGAGGAGGGAGGAGGATCGAGCTTCGAGGATCGATGTCTTCGGGTGGCTTGGGCCCTTCCTCGGTCCGCGAAAGCCTCCGGAGGCCTCTGGTGACTTCTGCAGGGAGCCTGTGGGGAGCCTGCGGGGAGCCTGTGGGCATCTCACGGGGGCTCTGGGGGCCTTCGGACCTCCGCGGAGCGCGGCTAGAAAGAGAGAGAGAGAGAGAGAGAAAGAGAGAACGTCGAATCTCAATCAGTCGGGCAGGAGAGCCCAAGAATCAATTCGATGAGCCGGGTCGGTGATCGAAATGAACCGGATCGGCGCAAATCGGCAGCCAGGTCGGGAGAAGCCGAATCGGCGGAAATCGGCAGGCTAGAAGGCCTCCATTGAGAAAGATCGGAACATCAAGTCGAATCGAATCGGAATCGGAAGCCACCGAGATCGGATCGAGTCGACTCGGAGGAATCGAAACGAGCCCTGGTCGGGAGGAGTGGCCGCCCGCACGGTGCACCTCCGGCTCCAGCAGCTTCGCCAGCTCCTCCGGGTCGAGGTTCGCAAACGCCTGCGGAAGGGGGGGAGCGACGCAGGGCGTGCGGCCGACATCTCTCGCGAGGGGGGGGGGCCGCAGCCACTCACGGGTCGGGCACTGCAGCGCGCGGCCACGGCAGCCCAGGCGCCACGCTATGCCTTGCGGGTGGCGGGCGTGTCGCTCCGCTCCGCGAAGGGGGGGGCGGGAGGCTCACGCGACAGCTCGGGACGCTGTCCTCTGGGGATGGGGACGACGGGCAGCGGGTCGCACCGAAGCGTGCTGGGCCAGAGCCAGCAGAGCGACACGCTACCCGCAAAAGCTCCCGGCCGTGCATCGCTACGGCGTGTTCCCGCTCTGGGCCAAACGCTTGGACGGCCCGGTGTGCCTGGGAGGGTGGCGCCAGGCCTTGGAGTCACCCGAAGGCTCCTGAATCAAGACACCAACAATGGATTGCCCGAGCGTGGATGCGCGCGTTTGGGGCTGCCTGCCCTGCCCAGCCAGCAGAGGCCCCGCGCGTCGGGCTGGTGCCTCCTTCATGCTCAAAAGCTTGGACGTCACGATGTCGACAAGTCGCCTGCACCGCGGACTGGCCACGCCCTGTGCCTCTTGCAGGCCCGACACTCCTCTGGCTCTTCTTAGTCGTCTCTTCCTGTTATTGTTTCCTGTTTATCTCTCTTTCCCTCTCCTCTCTCTCTCTCCCTCTCTCTTATTTTGTCTCTCTCCTTCCTCTCCCTCTCTGTTGTTTTGTCTCTCTCCTTCTGGATATACATATATATATACATATACATACATATATATATATATACCTATACAAATACATATACATATACATATACATAAGCCCAATGTGTATATTGAAACCGCACGCGCGCTTCGCGCGCGCTCAGGTTCAAGCGCACGCCAGGGCGCCATCATAATCCATCACGACACACTGGGTTCAAATCACGACGCCTTGGGGAGTTGACGCCGGTCTGCGCTACGTAGCCACGCAAGATGTTCGGAACGGCTCGCTAAACCGCGTCATCCAGTGGTCCCTCTCTCCCGCCCTACTCGCCATGCTCTCCTGCACCTCCTGCTTGTCACTTTCCTTTTCGCTCCACGCTCTCCGCACCTGCCTCCGGGGCGATGTGCTTCCATCCGCTCCACCGTGGGCGCGGGCTTCGAAGCCCACGGCGTCGGGGATCTGGGGAGATATGGTATTGCTGCATCTCACCGGTGGAGAAGGTCCGCGACCTCCCTGGCGCTCTCTGCTGTGCCCACGCCCTACCGCAGCAGAAGATTCCTCGCCCAAGCGAACGGAGACAGTGCCGGCGGTGCGGGTGGAGGCACGGGGGGAACATGGCGGCGATGCAAGCGGGCGCCGCTGGGCGACAGGGCGTTTGAAAGTGACACGGCCAGCGGACGCTCCCTCGCAGCTGCTGCTCCTGCTCCTGCCGGTAACCTCCAATACCTCCCACCCCCACCTCATCCCCCCTCGAAAGACTTGGCTCCGAGTCCGCCGCAACGAATCAACCAAACAAAGTCGCCAACGTGCCCATGCCCCATGGCAGCGGATCTTTTCGCCCAAGTGCCAGGAGACATGATCTGTGGGCGTCTGGGAAGCCTCTTCGTTCGTTTGAGACGCCTCGTGAGCCCCGGAAGCCGTCTTGTGGGCGACTCGACGCAGCCGTGGGCTGTTTCGACAGCAGTTTGATCGCTCTCCGAGGCGATTTGGGGATCCGAAGAGTAAGCCCGGCCCCATGGCATCACATTTGTGGTGGCAGACATACAAATGCGTGTGTACACGCTCGCGCCAGCCGAGTGAATGGAGGGAGGGGACAACTTGAAAAAAAACGAAATGGATTATATGTTTTTTCATTTGGGACTGCCTTCGATCTAGTGTGTTTAGTGGAATCTTGGGCGTGGAAGGAAGGACTGACGGAGAGATACGTGGAACGGCAGAAGGAGAAAACCCAAGAAGAGGAAAGAAAGACAGAAGGGTAACGAAGAGCAAGGGAGGACGGAGGAGGCTTCTTGGATACCTGTATGGGTCTCTGAGGACACCTCTTGGAAGCTTCTTGAAAGCAGTTTTGAAGCCTCTTGGGGCCCCTTAGGGCCTCTTTAGGCTCTCTTTTGAGCCTCCTGCGAGCCTCTTGGCGCCTCTTGGGGGGCCTCTTAGAAGAATTGTGCGGGCATGTTTGTTGGCGGCTTCGGGGGTCATCTTGGGGCGGGGGACTGAAAGTGTCAGCTCGGGTTGCCCCTCTTAGGCCCCGCCTGGGGCCCTCTTGGGCTGTCATCGGGGGCTTCGTGGGCCGTCTTAGGGGCCCTCTTGAGCAGTCTGGGGACCCTCTGGGGCCGTCTTGACGCTTTCGTGCGGGTCTCTGAGAGGCGTCTTGGGCTGCTTTGGGCCGTCGGAAGCAATGGAAGGCGACAACCCAATCCTTCCAAAACCCATAAACAAATATGTTGTTGGCCTCCTCAGAGCCTCTTTGGGGACGCGCTAGACCTCTCGGGGCTTCTTGGGACGTCTTGGGTGCCTGGTGGGCCGTGTTGATTCCATCTTGAGAGCTCTTGGAGCGCTTTTGGATCGACTCTGGGTCCTCCTGGGCCTCTGTCAGGCCGCCTTGGGGGTATCTTAGGCTGTCTGGGATGCCTCTTGAGCCGTATTGAGGCCTCCTGGAGGCCCCGGGGAAGGGGTATGAGAAAAAAATATCGGCCAGTGGTTGCGAGGTGGCCAGCCCCCAGTCTGGGGGAATGCTACGTTTGACATGAGATGTGTGTAGGCACGCATACATACATACATACATACATACATACATACATACATACATACATACATACATACATACATACATACATACATACATATATATATATATATATATATATATATATATACATACATACATATACATACATATGCATACATATACATACATATACATACATATACATACATATACATACATATACATACATATACATACATATACATACATACATACATACATACATACATACATGCATGCATACATACATTACATACATTACATGCATATATTACATACATGCATACAAACATGTATACATACATACATACATACATACATACATACATACATACATACACATACATACATACATACATGCATGCACACATGCGTACATACATACATACATACATGCATGCGTGCATGCATACATGTGCACATGCACATACACATACACATACACAATCACATACACATACACGTACACATACATATACACATACACATACACATAAACATACACATACACAGACACAGGCACAGACACAGGCACAGGCACAGGCACCTACACATACACATACACCTACACATGCAAATACACGTATACCTACACATACGCATACACATACACATGCATACATACATGCATGCATATAGACAAACATAAACACAGGCATACATACATAAACATATACACATACATACATACACACAGAAATACGTGCGTCCATACACATACACATACACATATACCTACAAACAAGCATACATACGTACGTACGTGCGTGCGTGCGTGCGTACATGCGTACATACATAGGAACACACATGCATAAATGTCTGCATACATGCATACATACATACATATACACATACATACATGCATGGATGCATACGCGCATACATGCATATGTGCATACGTGCATACCTACACATACATGCGTACATGCATACGTGTACATACGCATACATGCATGCACAGATACACGCATGCATACATGCATGCACAGATACACGCATGCATACATGCATGCATACATGCATGCATACATGCATGCATACATACGTACATGCATAGATGCGTACATGCGTACATGAATACATGCATGTATGCATACGTGCATGCATGCATGTCTGCCTACCTATCTACCTACCTGCCTGTCTGCCTGTCTGCCTACATACCTACCTATCTACCTATCTACATATATACACACGCCTGCGTCCATGCATACATGCATGCATACATACACAAATAAATGCATGCATGCATGCATGCATGCATGCAGACAGACAGACAGACAGACAGACAGACAGATATGGAAAAATCCGCCAGCCCCCTTGTGGGGCCACCAGGCTGCGAGGGTGAGGATTGCAGCTCCCTGTTCCAGTTGCAGTTTCCAGCTTCCACTGTTACAGTCCTGCTTTCTGCTTCCTTCCTGTTAATTGTTGCTGTCCGCGCGAAGGGTAGCAGCCCCAAACAAGTTTTTTCACCACGCCCTGAAAGGGTTTTCAGAATTCGCGGGGGGGCGTGAGACACGCACAAATACATGGCATTCGCGTCCCCGAGGCCATAATCACGAGTAAATTACAACATATTCGCGCCCCCGAAGCCATAAACCTTAGTAATTACACAATGCTCGCGTCCCCCAAGCCATAATCTCTACTAAATCATACGATCTTTGCATCCCCGAGGCCACAAACCCTCGTAAATTATTCAAGATTCGCTTCCCCGAATCCATAAACTCTAATAAATCAAACAATATTCGCGCCCCCGAGACCATAAACCTTTGAAAATGATACAATAGTCGCGTCCCCAAGGCTCGAAACCCTTCTAAATTACACCATACTTGCGTCCCTGAGGCCACAAACCCTAACAAATTATACCATATTCGCGTCCCCGAGGCCATGAACCCTCATAAGCCTTCATAAATTATGCAATAGTTCCGTCCCCGAGGCCACACACCCTTATAAATTAAGCAATATTCGCGTCCCCGTGTGAATCACCTAATATTTGCGCCACCGAAGCCATAGACCCTGGTAAATTAATATTGGCCCTCGCGTGAAGTCCCGACATTGCTTCACGTCAGCGTCCAGACATCCCAACACAGCTCTGGCAAGTCCCATTCTAAGAGAGGGGGGCCCGCGGCATGGTGGCGAAACCCTTACGGATAATACTACGACGTCCCTCCCAACAGCCTGGATCTACACGACAGTGCTCGTTCTCAACACGCCTGCCGGTGAGCAGGACGTCGAAGATGCGAAATTGACTCGTGCCCGACCAACCGATGGGAGCAACGTAGCCGTGTCGAAGCCCCTCGAGCCACACAAAATGCAAAGATCTCAAGGAATCGGGCAGCCCGCATAAATACTGAGAACAAGGGAACAAGAGCAAGGGGGAGAGACACGAGCAAGGCTTACAAACAAATGTTGTAGACATCATTATACTTATTCTACTCATACTCTTCCTGGTCCACATCCTCCACCTCAGCCTCCTCCTCCTCCACCTCCTCCTCCTCATCATCATCATCAACATCATCCTCATCACCGTCATCACCATCCTCACCATAGCCAGCATCATCAGAATCATCACCAGCAGCATCATCATTATCATTGTCGTCCTCATCATTGCCATATCATCATCAGCAGCAGCATAATCATCAGGAACATCAGCATCAGCATAATAATCATAACGATCATCATCAGCATCATCATCATCGTCACCGTCATCATCATCATCATCAGCAGCATCATCATCATCAACACCACCAGCATCATCGTCATCATCGTCGTCGTCATCGTCATCGTCATCGACATCGTCATCGTCGTCATCCTCATCATCAACATTATCAACATCATCAACATCATCAGCATAATCAGCATAATCATAATCAGCAACAGCAGCATCCTCATCATTATCGTCATCATCATCAGTATCGTCATTACCATCATCATCATGTTCGTCATTATCATCAGCGTCGTCATCATCATCAGCATCATCATCGTCATCACCATCGTCATCATCATCATCGTCATCAGCAGCATTATCATCATCAGCATCATCCTCATCGGCATCATCACAACCACCACCAGCACCACCATCATCACCATCATCGTCATCACCATCACCATCATCATCATCAGCAACATCATCATCGCATCTGCATGATCGGAAGCAGGATCCTCCCCATTATCTGCCTTCTTTTCGTTTCTAGTCTCCTCTTCCATGATCCTGCAGATGCGTATCATCGCCATTATCCTCCACGACCTGAATGTACTTACGTCGTGGGAACGTACGATGGGCTTCGAATATAGATTGCGAAGCATGATTTCGAACAGCAAACACATGAAACACGGACTGCTCACTCTGCGGACGATGATGGCAAAACCCAAGATCAGAGCAAACAGTTGGACATTGAGCAAACGCGACTAGGCCGAGATCGACGAGGCAACGTAGTTCTTATACGCACAGCAGTCCGCATTCAAAGCACAGCTGAGGCACGGCACGCACGGAGCAAACGAATCGCCACCTTCGCAAAGCAACGCAGGAAGCCCTGTCGACATGAAACGCGGATATCGGCTCGCATTCAAGAAAAAAATTGTCCGACATAACCAACCAACCGACCCACGAAGTGCCGGTCAGGAAGTGGCGGTCTCACAGCGCTGATGCCATGGCACGAGGGCTCAACAAGTGCAGCAACCGAACAGCGCTTGCCAGCAGCTACAGGGGCACCCCAAGTGGACAAAGCGTGTGCCCAAGGTCTAAGCCGCACGATGCTCGCTATGTTTTCGTTTCTCCGCTCCAACCTCTGGCCAACCTCTGATACAACACCACTCCATTTGTTTCAGGGGACGACCTCTAGAGTCTAGACAATAACGGCGAATACACGAGGGCACAACTCCTCATCTTCGTTGAAAGCATCGCACGATCACCGTAACCATCACAATCATCATGGCCCTGCTTATCCCCTCTCTCTATATCACTCTCTCTCTCTCTCTATCTCACTATTTTTTCTCTCTCTCTTTCTCTCTCTCTCTCTCTCTCTCTCTTTCCGGTTCATCCTCCTCGTCATCATCATCCACCTCCTCCTTTTCCTCCTGCTCCTCATCAATATCATTATCATCATCACCACCACCATCATCATCATCATCATCAGCAGCAGCAGCAGCATCAGCATCAGCATCGGCATCATCATCAGCATCATCATCAGCATCATCATCTTACTATTCATCACCATCTCCGCCCTTCCAACCCCTCCTCGTCCTCCTGACACTCCCTCTCTTCTCGATGCAGGCGGAGGCTCTTGCTCATCTTCTGTGTCTTGGCGGGCACGATGCCCTGCCATCCGAACATGCCAAGCGGCTGCTGTGGCCAACGCCTCAGTCCGAGAGGCGGATGTGGGAAGTGTGCGCAAGTCCGTCGGACGACACGCTACGCGCAACACGCAACACGCGACACGAACACTCGGCCGACACGCCGATTGACACGACACGACACAGATCGACGACGTGACACAAAACGCCACGACCAAACACGGCTCGACACAGTCGAGGAAGAACATGAAGGGCAGGAGGACAGAACGGAAGTGGCGGGGGAGACAGCAGAGGCGGGATTACCTAGAGGAGAAGGACTCGCGAGACAAGAAGAAGAGCAGGAGATGCGTCCGTCCAAACGGGGCCCAGAGCAAGGGCAATCCTCAAGATGGGGTCAAGTCGGGATTTATGAACCTGGGGTCCATAAAACTCGCCTTCGGACCCGAAACAAAGAAAGCTCTTGGGGTGCGAAGAAAATTGCTTCGGTGTTCGACAATCGTTTTCGGAGCTCCCGGGAAATTCAGGGCAGCCTTCTGGCAATGCCCCAAAGCGCTGGAAAAAAATCCCCGAGGCGTACCCAACCCATCTGCAACAAGGGAGCATAGAAGTGGGCCCGCTGTATGCTGATGTCAACGAGCCGCAATGTGTTATGACAGTTACATAGGTGGCTTTCACGTTCCACGATTCACGAAAAACCCTTCTCCTCCTCCTCCTGGGGAACGACTTCCAGTCACCTGGAAGGCGTGCACAAAGGAGGGAAAGACTGTCAATGTTAATACTTCTGGGGGCCCAGTTGGCTACCACTACGAACCACCTATCTGCGGGGACAATTGCGCAATTTCCAGCACCCCATGGAGCCGCGAGGTCTCGCTTGGATCTGCTTGACATCCCGATGCGCTGTACCTCCCAGGAGCCTACAACAGTGGCGACAGTTGCGCAGTTGGCAGCCTCCCAAGGAGCCGCGAGGTCTCGCCTGCGCACCGCCTCCGCTGGACCTCCCAGGAGACCACGAAAGCGGCGGCAATTGCGCAGTTGGCAGCCTCCCAGAGAGCCGCGAGGTCTCGCCTGCCCACCGCCTCCGCTAGACCTCGCAGGAGCCCACGAAAATGACGACAGTTGCGCAGCTTACTAATAAGGCACAGTGGAAGAGAAGGAAGTGTGCGGGAGGTTGCGCGAACAGTGCTCTTTTCAAAACAAGAACCTAACACGGGATAACTGGGAAAAACATTGTGTTGCTGCCCGGGCAAAATGCTTTGAGACTCTGGAAAACGTGTCGGGGTACGAACATTACCTTCGGGGCTCCCGAGAAGCCGCATGTCGAACCTGTTCTGACAAGAAAGAGCGCCCGCTTTTACTCCCCTCGCTGTCCACTTCCCCCCCTCGCCCGGCACACCCTACCAATCCTCCTCCCGCTGCGCACACACACACACACACAGGCCCCACGGACTCCCAGTCGGGACGCCTGACTGGAATGCCAAAGAACTCGATGGGGTAGAAGATCCTGGCGAGGGCGCGGGCACACGGCGCGCGCGCGCCCAGACAGGGCCGGCGCGCGCATGGCAAAGCCAATTGTGCGCCAAAACGGACCGGCCCAGTGGACGAGGGGGGGGCGGGAGGGGGAGGGAGGATAACGGGGAGGCAGGAGAAAGGGGGGGGAAGGGGGAGGGAGGGGAGGGGGAGGCAGAGGGGGGAAAGGGGCGGGAGGGGGGAGGAAGGGAGAAGGAAGGGGAGGGCAGTGGAGCGGCGGGAGGAGAGGGGGGAGGGAGAGAAGGGGGGAAGGGACGTGTCCACAGAAGAAGGGGGGAGGGGAAGAGGGGAAGACGGGAAGCGAAAGGCGGCGGAAGGGGGAGGGGGGGAGGGCGGCGCGGAGGGGAGCACCCAGAACAAGGTCCAGGAAGAGGCGGCGGCGGATCGCTGGAAGAGCACATCGAAGGACCAGACCGCGGCGGGGGGGGGGGGCACGGCTCGGGGAGGGGGACGCCGTGGCGGCCAAGGCCAGGAGGAGTAGGCCAAGGGGGAAAGCGGTCGTGTCTGGGAGGGGAGGTCCATAGGGGAGGGCAAGATCAAGGGCCAGGGGAGAAGGGGCCAGGGAGGTGGAGGGGGGAAGGGAGCGGGAAGTCGGGGAGCGGGGAGGGGAGCGAGGAGGAAAGGGAGCGGGGAGGGGAGGGGACAGGAGGAGTGGGGGAACGAGGACGAACAGCAACAGCAGGAGCTGGGTTGAAAGTAGCGGGAGGAGCAGGAAGACCAGCGGAAGGCGGAGGAGGGGAAAGGAGGCTGGCGACATACATGAGGAAAGGCTCGTATCAAGGAAAGTGGCCACCGCTGGTGCGAGAGAACATCATTCTGAACGACGGGAGCAAAGCGCCAACCCTAAAATGAGGCCCACGCTGCAGCGGGAGCACGATTCTCGAACACCAGGAACGTTCCGATTGGGAAAAACCATCGGGCATAGCAAATGATGAAATCCTGCGTAAACCGAAAGATACGCGGAGAGGGTTGAGTATCTTCCAGACGGAGTCAGGAGAAAGAAAAAGGAAAGTAGCACTCTCATGGAATTATTGTGGAGGGAAGGGGGGGGAGACGACGGGGGGACGGGGAAGGAGGGGAGGGGGCGAGGGGGGGAGGGGAGGGGAGGGAGAGGGTGAAAAGAAAGGTAGGGGAGGGGGAGAGGGAGAGGCCAGGGGATTGCGAACGCCTCGGGCTGTCGAGCGGTTTCTTGTTGTGTTTTCGTTGTTGCTCATTGTATGTTCGTGATTCTTTGTATGAACACCGTGTTTCTCATAGATTGTGTCTCATTGTTGTTTCTCTCTCTCTCTCTCTCTCTTTTAAACTATCATGTGGTGTTGGGTCTTCGCTTTGAAGAAACAGCGCCCCGCGTTCCTTCCTCTCCTCCTCCTCCCCTCTTCCCCCTCCTCCCTCCAGCCTGCGCTTCCCCCATCCAATACAGCGCTTCGTGGCCCCATAGGGAGCTCCACCGAAGGTCTCAGTGGCGGAACTCGCACGCGGTTCGTGCCCCCAAATGCAACGCTTCGCGTCCCCATAGGGAGCTCCACCGAAGGTCCCACGGGCGTAACTCGCAGGCGGTTCCTGCGCCCACTACAGCGTTTTGCGGTCCCATAGGGAGCTCCACCGAAGGTTCCACGGGCGTACCTCGCATGCGGTTCTTGCGCCCAATACAGCGCCTCGTGGCCCCATCGGGAGCTCCACCGAAGGTCCCAGTGGCGGAACTCGCATGCGGTTCCTGCGCCCAATACAGGCTTCGTGGCCCGATAGGCAGCTCCACCGAAGGTCCCAGTGGCGGAACTCGCATGCGGTTCCTGCGCCCAGTGCAGCTTCTCGCGGTCCCACAGGGAGCTCCACCGAAGGTCCCAGAGGCGGAACTCGCAAGCGGTTCCTGCGCCCAGTGCAGCGTGTCGTGGCCCCATAGGGAGCTCGATCCCCAAGCCCTCTCGAGACGCCAAGGAATCACGACGGAGGGTTTGGACAACTTTCGGCCGGTGGGGGCCCTTACTAAGCCTGTGGACAGTCGGAAAGCTGCTTTTGCGTCGCGGCTTGACAGAGGCGATCCGCTCGCGCGTCCAAGCAATCCAGGCTGCGGCATTGTGAACTGTCCCGAATGCAGGAAGAGGAGGGGAAGAGAGCCGGCCGCAGAGACAGGAAGTAAGGATGAAAGCACACGTCCTGGGGAAAGGGTCGAAACCTCCTCCTCCTCCTCCTCCTCCTTCCCGCTTTCTCCTCCTCCTCCTCCTCCTCTTCTTCCTCCTCCTCTTCTTCTTCTTCTCATTATTATTCTTATTATTAATACTATTATTATTATTATTTTATTAGTATTAGTATTATTATTATTATTATTCGTATGGTTATTATTGTTATTAATATTATTTGTGTTCGTATTATTCTTGTTATTATTAGTATTACTATTATTGTTATTATTACGATTCCTATTATTATTCCTCGTATTATTAATATTATTCGTGTTCAGATTAATATAATTCTTATTAGTATTCGTATTATAATGATTGTTCTTATTATTATTCGTCTTAATATTCTTACTATAGTATTATTAGTACTATTATTCGTATTATAGATGATATTATGATTATTATGATTGCTCATCTTATTATTCTCCTTATTACTATTATTATTGTTATTATTATTATTGGTCGTATGAGTCGTCCGATTATTCGTTTTAATAGTATTAGTAGTATTATTATCAGCATTAAGAAAATTAGTATTAACAGTATTAGCATTCATAATATTAGTACGATTATATTGTTCTCAGTAGTATTATTAATCGTATTGTTGTTATTTTTATTATTAGTACTCGTATTGTTATGCGTCTTATTATTATTCGTCTTATTAGTGTTATCATTGTTATTCGTCTTATTATAATCTGTATTATTATGTTTATTATGTTTATTAGTCTTCTTATTATTTTTATTATTCGTATTATTCTTAGTATGATCATTATTATTACTATTGTGATTGTTATTATTATCATTATTACTATTATTATTAAAATTATTATTATTATTATTATTATTATTATTATGATTCGTCCTCCTCCTCCTCCTCCTGTTCCTCCTCCTGATCCTCCTCCTCCTCCCCTCCTCCTCTTCTTCCTCCTCCTCCAGATTAGCGGCGGCGGGGGCGGCGAGGATAACATGCCCGGCGCACATCTTCACACCCACCCAGTTGGTGCCATAGCCCACCAGGGCGGCGACCTCCCCCCGCTTTTTGGAGAGGAGGGAAGAGAGATAGAGAAAGGAAGAGACATGAAGAGAAGAGAGAGAGAGAGAGTGTGTGTGTGTGTAGACAAGCGCGTTCCACTACTCGCAAAGTACCTACTCACAAATGGCTTAGACCCGCCGCGTGGGATTTACGACCCATGACGCAGAGGAAGATATGTTTGTCTTGGATGTTTGCAAGTAGGCACGTTGCGAGTAGCGGAACACGCTCAGTGAGAGAGAGAGAGAGAGATAAGACAAAGAGAGAGAGAGAGGGCAGGGATTCGGGTCGCGGGTCGATCAGGGCACCCCGCGGCAACCAGCGGGTGCGCCGAGCCCTCTGGCTGGAGCGCGGCATTAGTTGCGAAGGACGTAAAAAGACGAGATTCGTGGCGCGCGCCAGAGCGGGCGACTGCTTGGGATGGAAAGAGGGTCCGAAGCGGCGCGCAGCGCTCCACAGCAGGGGTCTCGCGGGGAGGAAGGCCCGGGGGATGGGTGGTGCCGTGGCACCCGGTCGGAGTTTTCCCCAGAAGGAGGCACCCCTGGCTCGGGGGCATCGAACGAGTGGGGCGTCCAGGAGGGGGGGGTCGCAGACCATGGCCCGAGGCACGTGCGCGGCGCACAGGGGCGCCAGGGGACGCATTGAGGGAAGAGGGGGAGGCCACGAGATCTGGGAGATGCCATGGCACCGTCCACGATATCCACCCGCCCTCCTATAGGCATCACCGCCCTCTTGGCCGCCCCCGACTCGCGGAGGGGGATCGGCGAGGCGCTGCGAGCTGGGCAAGGCCGCCGGGGTCAAACGAAAGGTTGGGGCGAAACGTGCCCTCGGCCCGCTGCTACACGTGGAAGCGTGCGCAGCGAGGAGATGGTAGAGGATAACCGCGAGAGCAGCCTGTCTGCGCGTCTCGCCGTCCAGGGGGGCGCGGGCACTGGCGAGCGTGGCGGTGGCTGCCTGAGCCTGCGCGGCACCGTCGTGGCATTGGCGCTGGAGATTGCGTTGTCGCTTGAGAAGGGCGAGGACCCAGGCGTGAGCGGCGGCATGAATGCCTTCGAGGTTGTGCACCTCGGCAGCGGTATCCAGTGGGCCGGCGAAAGGGTCACCCTCGTGGATGGCCATGGGGACAGCGCGCACCTGCGAGGGACCTGGCGGGGCACTCTCGTCGGCCACGGCTGGCGCAGGGCGCGGCGTCCGATCTTGGCGATCGCCCTCGTGCACAGCCCAGGGCAGTCGAATGCCAGTGGAGTGCCACGGCGGGCACGGGGGCCAAGGGGCAAGGGTGCATGAGCGGGGTGGGGCCGCGACGAAGGGCTGAGAGCGCCCCAGCGGGCCCGCTGCGGCAGTGCTGGGGGCCGCACCTGCGAGCAGAGCTCGAAGACAGGGCTTCTGGGCAGCCTTCTCTTGGAGGGTGGGCGGTTTTGTCGGCGCCTGCGCGGCGAAAGCCGCGGCAACTTGGCGGATCGTCGTGGGTCACGATCGCGGCGAGCACGGCTGCGGCCCCGTGGCCTTCGGGGGGCGCCTCAACCGCCGCGATGGCCCAAGGAACGCTATACCCAACAAACTTCACCGTGGCGCTTGGCGGAGGGGTGAGCACGCGGACGACCTAAGGTGGGTTTGTCCCAGCCTGCGCAGTGGACCGCAGATGGCGTGTTCGACACCTTGAGGGCGTTGGTGACTTGTCCTTCGGTGGCGCACCATGCAGTACGTGGTGCTGGCCAGGGCGGCCTAGGTGCCACGCAGCTCGACGGCGACGGTCTTTGCGACCGTGCTTTCGCGAAACACCCGTACGCCGATGCCGCTCGTGCCTTTGACAAGGCCGTGCGAGGTGGGAACGGCGAGAACAGCTGCCATCTTCACATGCAGCTCACACTACATGGTCACGTACGGTGAAAAACCGTGGCAGGCAGATGAGCGATTGCCTGGTCGTATGTGATCCCTCCTGTGCCTGTGACGGCGAGGACGTCGGCGGCGTCGACAAGTGAAACGCCGAAGACAATCGTGAGTTTCCATGTGCCAAGGGTCGTGCCGTGGCGGCCTAGCTGAATTGGTTGATCAAGACGTGTGACGGTGATAAAATAGCTCGGGGACAAGGCCTCCAGTGCGCCAAAAAACGCTTCGTCGAGCTCACGCACGGCGTCGCCGCCACGAGGCTCTCTGCGAGCCGCGTTGCCAGAGGCAGCCGCCGAGGATTGCTGAAAGAGCAGCTCCCGGAGCGCACCGGGGGCATCGGGGGCATCCGCCTCGTGGATGGTGCCACGGAAACGTTGAAAGCTGCACCGTGCGCAACCTGGGCGGTGTCCTGGCGACACTCGACTTCGGCGGGTTGAAAATCATCTAGAGTGTGCCATCGGCGTGGGCGGGCTGGGCCTTTGCGGCCGCGGCGTCACGCCGCAGCACGGGAATGACCATCTCCTCTCCTGGGTATCTCTTGGTTGCGTAATTGGGTGAACAGCAGATCTCCGTCTTCCGGGTCGCGAAGGGAGATGCTGCTCGTGTGCGCGTCGTCGTTGGGAGCGCGCGTCGGGTGATCGACAACGAGTGTGCGGCATCGAGGCTCATCAGCGGCGGATCGGCCTCTTTCGCGGCGGCCCGAACGCTTGGGCTCGTCCGCGCGCCGTTGGCGTGATTGTCCCTGGGCTCTGTGGTGAGCGAGGGTACAACTGCTTTTGTGCTGCCGAAGTGGTCTTGGAAAGCCTGGCAGAGCTCGTGGGGGTGGTCGGAATGCTCGTGGCAGGCATGGTCGAGACCAGTGGAGGCGACTGAGAGGAGCTGATCGAATACTGGAGTGGCCAGCGCCTGCTCCGTGGAGAGCAGCAGCGCAGGCGCCCCTGCGAGCGATCTCGGGGCCGTTGGGGTTCCGCCTCGCCTTCTTGCCGGCAGGCATGGAGAGACGGCCCGCAATAATGGCGCGGCAGCCGCTGGAACGGGAAGGAAGGCGAGAGGTGGACCAGAAACCAAACGGCACCACCCCTCCTGCGACCCAGCGATGTTGAAAGTCTGTGCACCGGCCCGCCCGCGACCCACCTACGACCGAACTACGACACCACCCCTCCTGCGACCCAGCGATGTTTAAAGTCTGTGCACCGGCCCGCCCGCGATCCACCTACGACCGAGCTACGCCACCGCCCCTCCTACGACCCAGCGATGTTGAAAGTCGGTGCACTGGCCCACCCGCGACCCACCTGCGAGCGAACTACGACACTGCCCCTCCTACGAAACAGCGATGTTGAAAGTTCGCTCATCTGCCCAACCACGACCCAGCTGCGGCACAACCCTTCCTGCGACACACCTGCGACCCAGCGTGTCGCAGGTGGGGTGCTGTAATTTGGTTCCTGGTTGAGAAAGGTGGACAGCCGCACAGGCCTGCCGGTGCCGAGGCCAGGGACCCCAGCTCCAGTCCCGGGCTCGCGCGGGAGGCCTCGGCCAGAGGCCTAGAGAGAGAGAGAGAGACAAAGCGGGGAGGACGCCGACGACGACGACGACGACGACGACGACGACGACGACGACGCTTGTGCCCAGCTCGTTCGGCCTTCCTGTCCCGGGAGCACACACACATACACACACACACACACACAACACACACACACACAACACACATACACATACCGAGCCTGGCCAGGCCCCTTCTCGGCCAGGGACTGCCATGCACGCGCTCCGTTGACCAAGCGGAGCGGCGCGCATTCGCTGGCCGAGCGGGCCCGGGCTCGGCCCGGCCAAGCCGAGCGACGAGCGGCTGCAGAGCAGCAAAGTAGAGTGCAGTCGGACTTGATTGGAGAGGACACGCGAGAGGACAGAAGCCCCTTCCGAGGGCCACGTGGCCACAGGAATGTAGGAGTCGCGGGACGCAAGGACACCTTTTTCGTCGGTGGCGAGGCAGAGGCATTCCGCACCGGCGTGGGGCCAATCAGGGCAATCGAAAGGCGAAGTGTCCAGCGTGCAGGAGGAAGGAACGAAGACGAGGGCGGCCGCGCGAAGGGAGAAGGGGGGAAGCGCTCAGACGTGGACACGCAAGGTACCCTTGATTCGGCAGGGCCGACCTACGAATCCCGGCCGACGGCAGGAGACAAGAGGCGGAGAGCGGAGTACGGAGAGGCGGGGGACGGCGCAAGGAGAGGGCGAGGAGCCGGCAGGGGCAGCAGAGAGCTCCAGTCAGAGGTTGTTGAGGTCGGGGGTGGCAGAGCACGAGCAAAGCACCGAGAGGCGTGCACGTGACGCAGGAGAGAGCGACGCGAGGAGAAGGGAGGGTCAACGGGCGAGATTGGATGTAGGGTTCGGACTGGGGTGCAGACCCTAAGGCAGCACGAATGAAGGATGGGCACTGGAGGGCAGAGAACAGAGAGAAGTGATGAGGGAATGCCTCAAACGTTCCGAGCGGCCAGCGGATAACGGAGCAGAGGAAATGTGAAATAGGGAGTTGCGGGAAGAGAACAGGAAGTTAAATACACGGGGCGTGAGGCGGGATAGCCATATGGAGAGAGAGAGAGAGGAGAGAGAGAGAGAGAGAGAGAGAGACGGAAACAGAGAGAGAGAGAGAGATGAACACAACCAACAAAAGACTCCAGCTAAAGAGAGAGAAAGAGAGGGAGAGAAAGAGAGAGAGAGAGAGAGAACAAAAAAAAGTGTAGATCTGTTTATATATGGAGATGGAGAAAGAGAGGAAGGGAGAGAGAGAGAGAGAGAGAGAAATGGGCAGAGAGGAGCGAGAGAGAGAGAGAGAGGGACAGGGAGGAAGAGAGAGAGAGAGAGACAGAGAGAGAGAGAGAGACAGAGAGCGAGAGAGAGACAGGGAGAGGGAGAGGGAGAGAAAGGAGAGGCAAGAGAGAAGTTAGCCAGGCGGCATGAATCTCGCCAACCCTCAAGGCGTGAGTGGTTTAGAGCGTTTCCTCTTCCAACCCCCATTCTTACCCTTCGGGAAAGGGTTTACACACTGAAGCAATATGAATACTATTCTCCTCTCTCTCCCCTGGTGGCGTCTGGGAAATGGCCGCGCCCCTCCGCGCACTGGTTGCTTACACACAGGATTTCCCGGAAACCGGTTTTCGCCTTGGGTTTTTTTTCAAAGGCTGCTCTCGCTGAAGCGCTGGCTTCATTTTCGGGCCACCACCCAGTCCGCATCATGCTCCTGCGGCAGCGCTGGCCTCATTTCCGCGCTTCCGCTCATTCCGAATCGGGCTCCCACTGCAGCGCTGGCGTCATTGATTCCAGCGCCATGCCACGGCATGGTCTTCGATCCTTCCAAATCTATTTACAGAGGCCCCAAAATCTAGAAAATGGCCCCCCGAAAAAACCATCGGAAGCGATTACACATCCGGTGTCGGTTCGTCAATTCGTTGGACCGCAGAAGCCCCCCCCACGTAGGGGCGTCGCCACGCCATGATATGTCAGGCTGCGCGTCCTCATTTCCGCGCTTCCGCGCTTGGAGTGTTGTTCAACGTGCTGCTCTCGCTGAAGCGCTGGCCTCATTTTCGGGCTACCGCTCGTTCCGATTCGTGCTCCCGTTGCAGCGCTGGCCTCATTTCCGCGCTCCCGCTCGTTCCGAATCGTGCTCCCGCCGCAGCGCTGGCGTCATTAATTCCAACGCCATGCCACGGCATGTTTTTCGGTCCTTCCAAATCTATTTACAGAGGCCCCAAAATCTAGAAAATGGCCCCCCGAAAAAACCATTGGAAGTGATTACACATCCGGTGTCGGTTCGTTGATTTGTTGGCCGCAGAAGCCAACCCCCACTTTGGGGCGTCGCCACGCCATGCTATGTCATGCTACGCGTCCTCATTTCCGCGCTTCCGCGCTTGGGCTGTTGTACAAAATGCTGCTCTCGCTGAAGCGCTAGCCTCATTTTCGGGCTACCGCTCGTTCCGATTCGTGCTCCCGTTGCAGCGCTGGCCTCATTTCCGCGCTTCCGCTCGTTCCGAATCGTGCTCCCGATGCAGCGCTGGCGTCATTATTTCCAACGCCATACCACGGCATGGTTTTCGGTCCTTCCAAATCTATTTACAAAGGCCCCAAAATCTAGAAAATGGCCCCCCGAAAAAACCATCGGAAGCGATTACACATCCGGTGTCGGTTCGTCAATTCGTTGGACCGCAGAAGCCCCCCCCACGTAGGGGCGTCGCCACGCCATGATATGTCAGGCATGCGTCCTCAGTTCCGCCCTTCCGCGCTTGGAGTGTTGTTCAACGTGCTGCTCTCGCTGAAGAGATGGCCTCATCTTCGGGCTACCGCTCCTTCCGATTCGTGCTCCCGTTGCAGCGCTGTTCCCGCGCTTCCGCTCGTTCCGAATCGTGCTCCCGCTGCAGCGCTGGCGTCATTATTTCCAGTGCCATGCCACGGCATGGTTTCTTGGTCCTTCCAAATAGGCCCCAAACCCGAAAAAAATGCCTCCCGAAGAAACCATCGGCAGTGATTCCATTCGGCGTCGGTTCGCTGATTTCTAGGCCGCAAAGCCCCACCAACTTTGGGGCGTCGCCACGCCATGCTGTGTCATGCTACGCGTTAATCTTCAACACCATGCTATGCCACGTAATGCTATGCCATGCTACGACACCCGATTGTGCGAATAGAGAGGAGATCTACGCCATGTTAAGGGACGGGAGGGAGGGATAGGACGTCGGATATGACGCGAGCGCACCTAGCTTGTACCTCCCCCCTCCCCATACCCCCGACCCCTGGACCTGGGCGGGGGGGCGGCGACCGATTGGAGCGTCCAGCACGGCCTCGGCGAGAAGGCCAAATCACTTATGCTACAAAGCCGAAACCATTTATGTTACTAAGGTTTTGGGAACCTTTTGGCCTCTTGGGGGGGTCCCCCCCCCTTTCTTTGATCGATCGCATCCAAGATGGCCCCAAGGGTGCCCCAAAACGGCCCCACGAGGGCCGAAGAGGCGCCCAGGAGGCCACAAGAAGCCCCAAGAGGGTCCCCAGTAGGGTGCCCAGGAGGCTTCCGAAAAAATCTCAAGAGGCCCCGAAAGGCTCTCCCGAGGCGTCCAAGACGCACCACGGGGCCCCTGGCACCGCCAAAAGGCCCCCAAGACGCCCCGACAGAACTCTAAGAAACTATCAAGAGACATCCGAAGAGGCTCCGAGAAACATCCAAGAGACCTCTGGCCGGTCTGCTCGCCCTCCTCCTCCTCCTGATCCTCCTCCTCCTCCTCCTCCTTCTGAGCTCCATTCGTTATAAGTAACTCCTCCCTGTCGCACCCCGAGGACGGTCGGATGGACGGGCCAGGCGTTTCGCCTGAGACGTACCATTCCTGACCCTGAATCTTCAAAATTAGAAACAGCGGGTCGCTTCCGAAATGTGGCTCTCGCCTTAGCGCCGCGCACATTCGTCTTTCAAACCTTTGCAAAAGCTTCACGGGTTGAGGACAGGTCGTTTTCAAAATGTAGCTCTCGACATAGCGCCGCGTACATTCGACTTTCAAACAGCAAGAGTTTCAATGATGAAGGGCGGCTCCTTTTCAAAATGTGGCTCTCGCCCAAGCACCGCGCACATCGTCTTAACCAGTTGCAAGAGTTTCACGGCTTCTCATGGTTAACATACAATGACTTTGGAACGATGTGGGATTGACAGGGAGCACCACTTACTTTGAAGTCCCGGACATGGTGTTCTGGCACGACTCAAGATCGTCAACACGAAGAAATAAGGTTGATCCGTGGCGTTGATGTCCCGAGAATGCTGCTCTGGCACGGTTCAGGATTTTCAAACGGTAGTCTCCCACTGGGGCACTTCCCTCAGTGGAAATGAACCGTCTAGGGGCCTATGAAGTGGGAGCTGGGAGGATTGAGTTCAACATCGTTAATGAATATTGGATTTTCACTGGTCCTCTTCCTCCTCATCTTCCTCATCTTCCTCCTCTGCCTGTTCCTCCTCCCTCCTCCCTCCTCCCCCTTCCCCTCCCCCATTCGCCTCCGATTCCTCCTCCAATTTCTCCCCCTCTTGGGGGACGGCGGCTTCCCCTGCCCTTTATTCCACTACATGCTCCTTCACATCACTGATCAAGGCAACTCGCCTGGGCATCGTTTCTGGATGGACTGGTGGGGTTGCGCGAAGCATCTAGAATAAACTGTAGTACGATCAACAGTAACAGAGAGTAGAAAGCTGATACCCATGCGTTCTGGCGGCTGTCCATGCTCCATCTTTCCCCAAGCCCGCTGCAGTTCGAAGGAATCCCAGCGCTCGAGGAAGCAGGGCCCAAAGCCGCGCTACCTGGCACCAGCTCTGCTCTGGCAACCAGCGTGCTTTGGCGGGCACTGCGAATGCCCAGTGAACACAGGTAAAAGGTGAACCTGGTGTCTCCTGCGTCTGCATCACCATGAAATGCGCTCGGCAGCGAGAACATAGCCATCCCAGGGCCTCCGACGACTCGATTTTGCTCGTGTCTTCCGCACCCAGGGTTCTCGACCCCTTCTCTGGGACTGGCTTTTCTTCCTGAGTTGTTATGTTGACGGCCCTGGGGCCCAGAACAGAGCCCCTTGCCACCAAGCGCCTGCGCCCGCTTACTCCGGCGGGCACTTCGGATCCCCTGGACAACAGCTGCAAACCATTCGAGCATCTGCATCACCAAGAAAAGACGAAAACAGGAACGAGATAAATCGGGGTGAGGTGAAGCGGGAATCCTGAACGCCAGCGGGCATGGAAGAGGTATCGGGCACCGCAATCGCTCAAGAGCGCGCCTGAACGCTCTGGGACGCTCTGGGGCGGTCTGTCCTCGTCCCAGGCCTGCCTGACGAGAGCGCGCCCTGCATCGCGCAGGGTGCCCCCCCACGCCCGCACCACGGGGATGGTCGAGTAGGCCAAGGGGCTTGTCCAGAACTGCTGCGCGAAGGCGCGGCAGACGGCCGTAGCGCTCACCAGTATGCCCGCTGGCAGCAACCTGGGAGGCCCTCGTCCGAAACCGCCAGCCCGACCCTGACACACACAAGCAGCGCGGCATCGAGGGTCCACTTCCATACACAGACACGCACACACGTACGCACGCACACATACTTTTAAGTCAGCGGCGCAGAGGGTCCTCAAACGCGAGCAGCGGATGAAATTACTGATTGCGATCGAGAAATGTCGACGCACGCACACACAGTGTTCCTCCTCAGGCGATGATCGCGGCGCACGCTAGCGGGAGAAGCAGACGTGGGCTGCAATCGCCGCTAGGACGAATGCGCCTGAGGCGAAGCAGTGAAATCCTGGTTGACGGCCGGGCCAGGGAGCAAGAAGGACAACCGAGGCGCAGGAGGCAGACGGGACATGCGATGATACCCATGAAAGCCGAAAGCTGGTAGACGCGCAGAGTGAAGATGAAGACCCCAACGAACTATGTTGCCCTCAGTGGTGCGCATGCTTGAAGATGTGGTCTGGCGAGCACGTCCAGTAAGCCAATGAAACGCTGAGACCCTAAAAATCGATGCTGGCGATGCCGTCGGAACGCCACGGGGATCCCGATGTTACGTGCAAGACCAGACACAGGAGTCGCGACAACCACGCGTCGCATCTAGCGAACGACTGAAACAGTGCTGACAAAAACAAAGAACACGGCACAGGACAGCGGGAACCCAGAGAGGCTGGGAAGATGAAGGACGCGGCGGTGACGACGAGAGGGGACGCCGAAGGGTGTTGTAAGACAAGCATTGTCCCGACGGTGGTGTCGATGCCAGAGAATACGAGGCACCTGGCCAGCATGGCGCTACCAGTGCAACACACGCGGGCTGGCCGAACGAGGGAAGCGAAGAAAGAGGCGCTGAGTGACCTGGGACAGAAGCCAGGCATACCGAGTGACGTCGCTGCAGCGAAAGCTAGACTGGGCCACGCTTAGCGCCATTTCCGCCCGACGTTGCAGGAGGGTGGACAATGCAGGGCGGGTCGCGTGCACAAAAAATGATGGTGGCTGCGCTCGGCAAGCACGTTTTGGGAAGAAACATCATGAATTGTGCAAGGAAGAAAAGCCCAGCAAGCCGGAGAAAAAAAGACTGCCGAACACCCAAATCTGCGCTGCATCAGACGGACGCAAAGGCGGAAATGCACGCCGGCTGGTGGTTGAGCGCTGGAGCGCCAAGGAGCGCATGGGCCCAAAGAGCCCAGCCAGGTAGCCGTAGACCAACCACGTGAGCTACCTAGCCAGCCACACATACACACAAACACACATTTTTTGGCGTCGCGGCCAAGCGCGCGCAGGCGCGGCATAGTGCAACATTACACAAACGCACACACATACATACATGCATGCATACATACATACATGCACATATACATACATACCTACCTACATACATACATACACACATATACACACATACATACATACATTACATTACATTACATTACATTACATTACATTACATTACATTACATTACATTACATTACATTACGTTACGTTACATTACGTTACGTTACATTACAATACATTACATTACATTACATTACAATCCATTACATACATTACATTACATTACATCACACAACATTACATTACATTACATTACATTACATTACACTACATTACATTACATTATATTACGTTACATTACATTACATTACATTACATTACATTACATTACATACATACATACATCCACACATACACACAAACATACATACATGCATACATACATACGTACACTCACATACATATATACATACATGCACACATACAGACACACAGACATACATACATATATACACATACATACATATATGCATGCATACATACATACGGACGTACATACATACATACATACATACATACACATACACATACATACATACATACATACATACATACATATATACATACATACATACATGAATGCATACATACATACATATGTACATACATGCATACATACATACATACATACATACATTACATTACATTACATTACATTACATTACAACACAACACACTATAATACAATACAATACAATACAATACAAAACAAAACAAAACATTACATACATACATGCATACATACATACATGCATACAAACATACATACATACATGTATACATACATACTTACTTACATACATACATGCATACATACATACATGCATGCATGCATACATGTATACATTCATATGTACATACAGATGTATATATGTACACACATACATACATATATACATACATACATGCATGCATACATACACACGCGTAATGTCGTCCAGTCTCAAGGTGGCGGCACCGTCGCGAAGCGTTTAAGCTGAGACACGTTTGCGCGAATTTCCGCCCAGCGTAGGCCATAAGAGGACTGGACAATGGCAATCGCACGCATATCAGAAAACGATACGCAATTGCACGAGGAAAATGCCGGGACGGCCATGCAGGTGCAGAAATACAGATCGAGCGCCAGCGGAAAGCTGGTAGGCAAGGCCTGACAGAACGTGGCAGGGTGCGGTAAGAGCGTACGGTTTGAACGGACCCGCAAACACGAGGGAAGTGGCAGGCCAAGACCACACACACACACAGACGTACTTATTTCGACGCTCGCAAATACTGAGCCAGGATGCGGTCGAAGCAAACAATCCACGTTTGCGAAAGCGGCCGCGAACCTGACGCCCACACACACACACACACACACACACACACACACACACACGCACTAACGAGTTGCCGTTCCTCCTGCGGCAAAGTGACGGCACCATCGCGAGTGCAGGAACAGGACGCGGTCGAACGTGAAGTGCCACCAGGCGTTGCAGGTGAGGGACACACAGTGGCCAGTAGACACACACACACACTTTTACGTCGGCGGCTAGGCAGAATGACTGCGCTTGCGGATTGTGCAAATTTAGGGACACAAGTAAGAATTTAGCCGCGATGCGCGTGACCACGGGAAAGGCCCGGCGCGGGCGAGGGAGACGGAAGCCAGGCCCGCTCAAAGCGGGGCCGGGACGCGGCGGGGCGGCGCCGGGGCGGCGGGGCGCCGGCCGCGGGGCAGCCGGAGGCGGGCAGCAGCCAGGGGCGGCCGCGCGAAGCGGGGGGGAAAAGGCCCAGACAGTGCTGGGGACGGGCAGCACAGTAAGTCGGCGCACACACACACACACTGCCTCTTGCCTTTTCCCTCCTCCCTCCTCCCTCCCTCCTCTTCCCTCCTCCCTCCTCCCTCCTCCCTGCCATCCGTCCCATCATGTCCCACCCTGCCCCCCTCCTCCTCCATTCCTTTCCCTTATAGATAATTTTTCCCTGTCGCACCCCGAAGCCAGTTGTTAGGGCGGGGCGGGCGTTTCCGCCTGAGACTTCCTCATCCTTTATAAGCCTGAAGCTTAAACAGTACTAACAGTTTCACTGATGGAGGGCGGGTCGTTTTCAAAATGTGGCTCTCGCCTTAGCGCCGCGCACATTCGTCTTTTAAAATCTGCCGAAAGTTCACTGATTCCCATGATCAACGAAACAGAAATAGAGTTTAGGAAGGACTTAGGACTATGAGGGTGCAACAATTACGCTGGTTCGCGGCAAGACGCAACAATCAGGTTAATCAGTGGCGTTGGAATCCCGAGAACAATGTTTTGGCATGCTTCAAGGTCTTCAAACGGTTGTCTCCCAACAAAGCAGTTCCCTCTGTGGAAATGAACCGTTGTAGGGGCCTATGAAGAGGGAGCTTGGAGGAAAGGTTTATTCCAACATCGTTGATGACTCTTGGGTTTACACTGGTCCTCCTCCTCCTCCTCCTCCTCCTCCTCCTCCTCTTCCATCTCCTCCTCCTCCCCCTCCCTCCTCCTCCTCATCCTCCCCCTCCCCCTCCCACCCGTCCTCCTCCTCCTCCTCCTCCTCCTCCTCCTCATCCTTCTCCTTGTTCTTTTCCTTCTCCTCCTCCTCCTCCTCCTCCTCCTCCGTCTTCTCCCCTTTCCTCCTCCTCATCATCCTCCCTCCTTCCTTGCCCTATTACCCACAACCCTTCCGAGAAACGCGGGGCGAGGGGGACGGGGGAGCAGGGACCCCCCCCTTCATCTTCATCTTCCTCGTTCGCCCTCTTCATGAGGGAGATGGCGATGGAGAGGAGGCGGAGGAGGAGGAGTTCGCCTGCTTGCGACCTGAAAACCCAACACAAGTCCACCAATGTGCGCGCCTGTTCCAAAACTTCGGCTAAATAAGTGCGTTGCGACAGATCACGCCGGGGCGTTCATTCGTGAAAGACTGTATGCTGTCTATCCATTGGCGTCGCCTCCGTGTGACCTGCTGGCCATGTCATGGCGCGATAACTGCCCCGCCCGGAGCCAGGGTGCGAGTTTACCCTGTGGCATTGCTTGTCGCTGGGCCTCTGAACATTCAGAAGCGCAGGAGGAGGAAGAGCAGGAGGAGGAGGAGGAGGAGGAGGATAGAGGAAGACAAGGATGAGGGAGACGAGAAGTGTTGTGACGAAGAGATGGGGAGGAGCAGCAGGGAAAAGAAAATAGAGGCCTTCCTGGAAGAGGGGGGAAAGACGGAAAGGCAAAATACCCACCACGAGGCCCATGAACCAACAGCCGGACACCAGCGGCGGACACACCCCCAAGGGGCCAAGGGCACCAGGGGCAGCCGGGCACAAGACCACTGCGGGGGCCAGAGAAATCGGCCCATCCACACTTGCTGGGGGTGAAACGGCGCATGGGATGATTGGCTGCCCCCCTCGCCTTTCTCTCAGGGGAGAAGCACGGACCACCGCCACCGAGCATCCAGCAGGGGAGTGGCCCACGCCTGGGCGGCGGCACGCCCGAGCGTCACCCCACTACGAGATGACGCTCAGGCGTGCCACCACCCAGGGGCCAATTCCTCATCGATGGGTTCTCGGTGACGGTGGTCCCTGGGTCGCACAGAGTCATACTAGTGGTACTCCTTGGAGGCGCGCGCCCGACCCGAACACATAGTACACCCATCTTGTAGTATATAGCTTCCCGAGCGGTGTGGCCAGAAAGCGCCCACCACGACGCACATACTATCAGATTTCTCGATGCGCACGTCGCCCCTGGGGGCGGCGACGCACATATAAGATTAGTATGTTGAGGTGCCGCCGAGTCCATGCTCCTCCTCTGATTTTCACCGCCCCCTGGGGGCGGTGCGTCGAGCGGCATGTTCCTGCCACCCGAGGCCCCTGCGGCCGCCCGCAGGCCTCCAGGCTCGGGGGGCAGGCCGCACCCGCATACCAGACCTGCGCTCTGGCCGGCCCTGTCGTCCGGCCGACGTGAGGTGCCCCGACGGGGCACGCGGCGCGGTGGGCGGACCCCTGGCTGCTGGCACGGCACGGACGCCCACGGCCGCGCCGCCCAGGTCGGCCAGGACCCTCACGCTCTCGGCTGGCAGCCCCGCGCTGTCCCCCGCTGGCCCTGACTCCTCCTCCTCCTCCTCCTCCTCCGCCTCCTCCGCCTCCTCCTCCTCCTCCTCCTCCTCCTCCTCCTCATCATCATCATCATCATCATCATCATCATCATCATCATCATCATCATCATCATCATCATCATCATCATCATCATCATCATCTCATCATCATCATCAGCATCAGCATCAGCATCAGCATCATCAGCAGCATCAGCATCAGCATCAGCATCATCATCATCATCATCATCATCATCATCATCATCATCATCATCATCATCATCATCATCATCATCATCATCATCATCATCATCATCATCCTCTGCCTCCTCCACCCCATGCCTTGAAACATAGTTTGCCCCCTGACCGCCAGGCGTGTCGGTAGGACGGGCCGTTCGCCTAAGACCTCGTCATCACTTGTAACCGTGAATGTGGAAATCTCGACAACTACATGGAGGCCTGGTTTTTGTTGGCTTGAAACGAGGCTCTCGCCTTAGCACCGCGCACATTCGTCCTGAAGCTTTCAACGGATACAAAGATGAAGGGCGGATGGTTATCAAAACGGACCTCACCGATTCAGCGCGGCGCGCAAAATTAAAAGGATGCAGGGGTGGTTTTGAAAATGGTGTCTAACCGTAGCGCGGCGCATATGCATCCTCAAAGCTTGCATCCGTTGCAAGGATGGACAGGGTGGTGTTCAAAATGGAGTTCCCTCGCAAACACTGCGCCTATCCCTCCTCAAAGCTTGCAACAGATACACGGATGGAGGACGGTGCCTTCTCAAGATGCGATTATCGCTTGGAGGCTTCATCATACTACTACCAATGAAGGAACATGTAATGCATCTGCACGTATAGATGGTGCGTGCGTGCTCAAAATGAAGCTACTGCTACTGAGACTGCCTCGGAGTTCATGACCCAAAGTGCACACTCGTGCAAAAGCTATTCCAAAACGGGGGGGCATCGCTGGACAGCCCATTCAACTGTATGACCATACCTGTTCGCCTGAACGTTAAGCCCATAGCGTGCTGATCTTGAGGGGGGGTCCTCGTTGTAGCGAAACGACAGGCTTGTAAGGACTTGTCAGGACGAGGATTTAGAGACGGACGAAAAGGCTAGTGCAGCATCGTTGATGCAGTTTGAATTTACTCTGGGCCTGCTCCTACTGCTGCTGCTGCTGCTGCTGTTGCTGCTGCTGCTCATCCTCCTCCTCCACCTCCTCCTCCACCTCCTCCTCATCATCATCCTCCTCCTGCTCCTCGGAGGTTTCGGAACGTTTGGCTGGTGGTTGAGAAGGCTGTTCTTTCGGCGAGGGCACCTCTGCAGCCACGGCAGCGGCGCGGGGGGGCTCGCCACTGCAGCGGCGCCGTGGCCCCAGAAAGCCGCGCCTTGGCTCCGCGGGGACCCTCTGCGGCTGAGGGGGACGATTGGAAACGCAGCGTGTCGCGGCGGAGGCCCCGGGAAACACGCTGTGTCTTGCGAGGTGAAAGCGTGTCGCTCCGCTCCGCGGGGCGGGAGGCTGGGAAAGGCTCGGGACGTTGACGCTGGAACATTGGGACGTGGATGGCGTGTCGCGCCGAGGCGTGGTGGGCCAGAACTGGCGGTGGGAAACGCTCAGCCAAAGGTCCCGACCGTATACGCCTTCAACGTCCTTGGCCAGGGCCACCCTGCGCCCAGGGACGGCGTACACAGCATCCTGGCCTCCACCAGGAGGGTCTATGCACGATTCTGGTGGCCCAGGACGGCTCGGGCCAGGGATGGTGACGGCGTACAGCTTCCCGTTGTGGAGGGGAGAGGATGATCAAGGGGACGAAATAGGGAGAGGAGGAGGAGCAGGAAAGGGAGGAAAACAAGGGAGCAGCAGCAGAAGGAGCAAGAGAAGACCCGAAGGGTGCAGTGAACGTGGTGGCGGCTGCAGCAGAAGTTGGGACGCCTATACATTGCCACCACCACCATCGAGATCGGGGGTCACATCCATAAATAACGACCCCGATGTTCATCGTAACGTGTAGGCCTCTCGGGTGGCCAAAGGATTGTCACCAGCACCGAAGCGAGCGTAATCTTCCCTCGGCGGAGGCGACCACCGATATTGGGTGAGTGTGACTACATCTGGACCTCCGAACAAGAAAGAGGAGGGACCACTGGCGTCAAGGCTGGTGGCAAAAGTAAAGGCTCGAACCGCGAAAGCCATAGCAGGACGGGCGCGGCTGCGAGAGCCAGCGGCAGACGGACGGGCTCGTGGTGACCCCCACCCACATCGCCTCGAGCAACTGGGGGGCGGGGGAAGGGCGCACGAGCACGAGCACGGCCTGTAGCGTGCACCGCGCGAGGTGGTCGGGCCGGATCGGGCCGCGCCCGGCACAACCAGACGGGCCCCCAGGCAGGACAGGGCGGCGCATACTGCCGGCAGGCAGGCGGGCCCCGGGAACAGCGGTCGGGCGGGAAGAGGGCGACGGGAGAGGGGAGGCGTGGGGAAAGGGAAGAGGTGGGCGGGGGAAGGGGGGGGGGAGGGGGGCGCCCGAACGGCAGCGGAGGGGAGCAGCGGGGGAGCGGAGGGAAGGGGCCGCCCAGGGAGAGGAACCGGGGCGAGGGAGGGGCAGGGAAGGAGAGCAGGGGAGGCGAGGGAGAGAGCCGCACGCTCTCCCTCACATGCGGGCAAGACTTGGTATCCATACCCACTGCATCTTGGAGCTTCGGGCCACCTTCCCCAGACACCCGAGGCGCAGTGGGCACTGAAGAGAAATCTGGCCCCTTGTAGAGGTTATATATAGATATTTATATATATGTGTATATATATGTATATATTCACCCGCATCCACTGCGCCTCGGCCCCCCTGTCCAGAAAGTGAAAGTGCAAGAAGCAGTGGATGTGGATATAAATGTTGCCCGCATCACACCTTCCTGGGTCTACGTGTCATCGACGCCAGGGTCGCGGGCCTCTCTGGGACGTCTACGGCAGTGCTCAGCACCTCCCTGTCCCAGCTCCCAGCCGTCATCCGATCCGACTAAGGTCCCCGCCTGCTGTCTGTGCCCTGTCCAGTCGCGGCGACGAGGGGGGGCGGCGAAGGCAACAGAAAACAGGACGATGAGAACATCATGCACAGCACGAGGCGCGAGAGGTAGCCAGGAAGGTACCTCGGCTGGAGAAGTCGATCGGCCCTTCGGCGCGCGCCCCCAGGCCCGAGCGACGAGGAGGGAGCATAGAAGCACGACCGCGGGGTCTTTTGACGTCGTGAGCCCTGGGGCTCTCGACCCGTAGGTACTTGGCCGTCTACCCCCTGTTGCAGTCGGCTTTCGATGGCCCTCGGCGGTATCGGCGGTCCTCGGAGGTCTTCTGCGCGAGAGCTGGCCAGCGGTGCCGAACTGGGGGGGCAGGTCGAGCAGCCCAGACGCGGGAATCCTGAAGGCCTGAGACGGACCTCCGACGCCGACCGCGGGAAAGCGCCCGCTAGAAGCTTCGCTCGGCGCCCAAAGGTCCGGTGGGGGGATCGAGGCGAGGACTGCCTCGCCCGCAGAAGGCGAGCATACACCATCACCACCACCGCCGCCGCCAGGCCAGGCCAGCTCAAGCTCACTTTGCGTGAGATGCTGGTGTCCAGGGATGGCCGGGAGCCGATGTGCTCCAAGAGCAGGACCCTCAGTGGGCCTGATCTGGCGTAGTGATGTTGTGTACACAGAATTGTTCACCAGGCGTGGGGCAACGGATCGTATGTGGGGGCCATGAACGGGTTGCCCCCCCCGGGGGGAGGGGGGGAATCGCGTTGACGGGTGGATTCGGTGCGCACGGGGGTGGCCAGGGTGGCCAGGGGAGGATCTGTCAAACTGCTTGGTCGCAGCGCGATGCGGTCGGAGCGGCAAAAACGAACTCGCGACTGTGCACAAAACGAACAGCCAAAAAAGGGAGCGTGCCCGCAGAGGAGGGCGAGGGGAGGAGACGCGCGCTCGAACAACGCTGCATACCTTCGCCAGGGACTTACCAAACGACTTGGAGCACGTCTTCACCCATCCCCTTGCAGACTGGTCCCCTCGCGCGGGCGGCGAGACTCTGGCCGCCGAGGCCCGCGCGCGCCATGGGACGGCAGCTACCGCGCCCCGGGGGACAGCGGCGCCCCGCGCGCCAGGGGGCGCCGGGGGCCGCCCGGCCCCGGGGCAGCTGCACCCGGGGCGGCCGAAGGCCCTGGCGGCCCCCGCCCCATCCCCTCCTCCCGCTCCTCCCGCCCCTCTCCTCCCCGTCCTTCCCCCTCCCGCCGATCCCACCCCTCCCGCTCATCCCACCCCTCCTCTCCCCGCCCCTCCCGCCCCTCCCCTCCTCCTCCTCCCGCTCCTCCCCGCCCCCCCCCCCTCCCCCGCCCCTCCCGCTCCTCCGCCCCCCCCGCTCCTCCCGCCCCTCCCCTCCCCGTCCTTCGCCCTCCCACCTACCTCCTTCCGCCCCTCCTTCCGCCCGTCCGCTTCCCCACCCCTCGAGGCGCGCCGGCGCCGCGGCTCCTGGCCTCGAGGGGGGCCTGCCGGAAGCTTTTCGGGGGAGACCTCTCCAATCTCCTCCTCCTCCTCCTCTCCTCCTCCTCCTCCTCCTCCTCCTCCTCCTCCTCCTCCTCCTCCTCTTCTTCTTTCTATTATTATTAGTATTATTATTATTATGTTTCTTAGTCTTATTATTCATAATATTCTTCTTATTAGTATTATTGATCTTATTATTCTTAGTATTATTAATATTATTATGTGTATTATTATTCTTCTTATTATTATTATTTTTGTCATTAGTATTGACATTAATATTCTTATTCGTCTTATTAGTATTGTTATTCTTACTATTAATATTGACATTATTATTGGTATTATAATTATTACTAATAGTACTATGTGCATTATTAGTATTATTCTTATTAGTAGTAATATTATCATTAGTAGTATTTTTCGTTTGTTGGTATTGTTATGTTTGTTCTTAGTATTCGTCTTATCAATATTCTTATTCACATTATCAGTATTACTATTATTGTTATTATTATGCTTATTATTACTATTCTTACGATTCGTCTTATTATTAGTATTATTATTATGTTTTTAATTCTTATTAGCCTTAGCATTATGATTATTATTATTAGTATTATTATCATTATCCTTATTCTTCTTATTACCACTGTTTCTTATTATTCTTCATATAATTATTCTTCTTACTAGCACTATTAGTAGTATAATTCTTAGTATTATTACTCTTATGAATAGTGTTGTGGTTCGTCTGATTATTCTTCTTCTGATTACTATTAATCTTGTTATTCCTCTTATTAGTGTTATTTGTAGTCTTAGTATGAACAATATAAGTATTCTTCTTTTTCTTAGTATTATTACTATTAACATTATTCTTCTTTTGATTATTATGATTCATCATATTGTTTAGTATTATTAATTATTCTTATCATTACTCACATGACTAGTATTACTGTTCTTATTAATAATACTATTATGCTTATGACTCAGATGTATCATTATTATTATTCTCAGTAGTTTCTTATTATGGGTGGTATTATTATCATTGTGATTATTATTAGTCGCGCTCCTCTTATTAGTATTATTATTAGTCCTAGTATTATTATCATTAATATTGTTCTTCTTATTCTTATTCGTAATATGATGTTTCTTCTTAATATCAGTATTCTTCTAAGTATTAATATTATGTTTCGTGTTATTCAATGTAGTAGTCTTATGAGTAATAGTACTATGCTTGTTATTATTCTTATGCTTAATCATCGTATTATTATCTTTATCAGTATTAGCATTATTATTCTTCTAATTAAGATTATTATTATGATTATTTTCTTATTTGATAACTCGTCTAATTATTATTCTGATTCTTAGGATTAGTCTTCTCATTGATATTACTACTACATACATATTATGATTATTACTAGTATAATAGTATAACTATTATTCGTCGTGTTGATATGATTTTTAGTATGTGTCTCAGCATTCGCATCATCAGCATTAGTCTTCTTATTCCCATTATTATTATTAGTATTATTCGTCTTATCCGTAATACTCGTATTATTATTAGTTAGTGTTAATATTAGTAGTATGATTAGTATTAGTTGTGCTAGCATTCCTATTCTTACGATTCTTAATAGTATTAGTATGCATCTTATTATCATGATTAATAATAGTATCATTCAAGTTCTTCTGTTTTATTAGTATGTGTATGGAATTTCGTATTACTATATGATGTGTCTTATTATTAGTATGAGTAGTCGTATTATTATCCTTTGTATTCTTATCATTATTATTACTAGTCTTCTTCTTACTATTCATACTAGTATTCTTACTATTATTATTATTATTCCTCCTCCTCCTCCTCCTCCACCCTCCTCCTGCTCCTCCTCCTCCTCCTCCTCCTCCTCCTCTGCCTCCTCCTCCGCTTCCGCCTCCGCCTCCGCCTCCGCCTCCGCCTCCGCCTCCTCCTCCTCCGCCTCCTCCTCCTCCTCCACCTCCTCCTCCTCCTCCTGCGCGTTCTGCTAATGATTTCTTCATATCCTCCCGCCCCAACGACGACAACAACCAAGGACCCCCCTGCATCTCCAAGGGGTGGAGAGACGAATGAAGTGAAGAAGATGCTGATGAGGATGAGGGTGAGGGTGATGACGAGGACGAGAATGAGGACAGGGACGTGCGGTGGATCCAGATTGGGATGAGGACGAGAACAAGAATCTGGATGAGGACGAGGATGCTGATGTTGTCGATACTGGCAACGACATGCCAAAGACGTTGAAAATCTGAAGCTGACCTATGTGTTTGTGCCGTTCTAGCCCTTTCGCTCCCGACGGGCCCATGAGGCCTCCAGAGAACCCGAAGAGCAAGAAAATCCCATGAGGAGCTCAGAAGGCCGAATGACACAAAGACAACCCCAAGAGCGCCGCAAGAGAACAATCTTCTGGTTTCACACGAGGCAGCGCCCACTTAGGGGTGTGCGCATAACGCGTGGCTCCGCTGGAACTCCCAGGAGTTCACGAATGCGGCGACAGTTGCGAAGGTGGAAGCCACCCAGGAAGCGCGAGGTCCAGTCTGGGAGCGCGTAGCAAGTCGCTCCGCTGGGCATCCTAGGAGCTCACGAGAAGTGGGAACAGCTGCGCAGTTGTCAGCTTCCAGGGGGGAGCAGGAGGTCTACTCTGGGTGCGCGTAGCACAATCCAGGAGCTCTCGAAGGCGGCACGTGGTCTCATTCCAGTCCGCATAGCACGTCGCTGCGATGGATCTCCTAGGGGCTCACGAAAGTGGCGACGGTTTCGCACTCGGCACCCCCACGGCACGCGAGGTCTGAGCTGGGTCCGCTTAGCACGTCGGCCCGCTGACCTTCCAGGAGCTCACGAGAGTGGGGACAGCCGCGCAGGTCCAGTCCGAGTCCGCACAGAGTAAGTCGCTGCGCCGGGCCTCGCAGGAGCTCACGAAAGCGGCGAGAGCCGAGAGGTTGGCAGCACCCAGGGCCAGCGCAAGAAGACAGGAGGCGGGAGACAGGGAGACGGGACAGGTGCAGGGAGAGTGGAGACCAGCAGTGCTTCGCTCGAAATGGAGACCCGACCACAGGAAGCTTTGCAAAACATACCGACGCTGCTTCGAGGCTTTTGCGCAGTCTACACTCGTCGGTACAAGATCGGCCCACCTGCGGTCTTCGAAGCCCCAAACAGGCCCACCCGAGAGCCCTAAGGAGGTGCATAGACGACCCAGGACTGCCCCAAGAGAGTCCCAGCTGGCCCAAGAGGGAGAGGGCCTCTGGAGGGGCCCGGCACCAAGACGGCCTCACTACGGCCCCAAGAGACAGCACAGGCGACCAAGACGGCCCCAAGACAACCCAAGAGGGCCTAAAGGAAGTCCCAAGACTGCCCCACAGGAGCATGTGAGCTCCCAAAGCGAGACGAGAAAGCCTCTAAGAAATCTCGCAGGAGTCTTGATAAAGACTTCACGATGCCTACCAGAAGCCTTGGAGAAGAATATGAGAAGCCTCGCCAGAGCATCGCATAAGCCTCCCTCGCAGAAGCCTCTCAGAAGACTCTAAGAGACCTCGCATGAGCATCGCAAAAGCGGTTGAGGTACATCTAAGAGACCTGCGAAGCCATCAAGAAGCCTCTGAGAAGCCTCGAACAAGCTTCTCAATGTATTGGAATGCTCGTGGTATCCTGAATTAGCAGCAGAATGGGTAGAATCCTAAATTCTGGGAAGGACCCCAGCATGCCAGAAACACACATCCTTACCCATACTCTCCATCCCCCCTCCCCCTTCCGTTCCTCCCCCCCTTCTCCCGTTCCTCCCTGCTCCTCCTCACCCTTCCCCACCTCCTCGGGACACTGCGGGAGAAGAGTCACAACAAGCATGCTCAAAGGACTCAGAGATGCGGCCACCCAAGCCTTCGCGTGGGTAGAACGCTGAGCGGGTGCCTTCTTCTCCCGCTCCTCATCCCCCTCCAGCACAAGAAAGGAAGGAAGAAGAAAAAGAAGAAGAAGAAGAAAAAAAAAAATAGAAGAAGAAGAAGAAGAGGAAGGAATTATACTAATACTACGAATAACATTAACAATAATAATAATAAGAAGAAGAAGAAGGACAAAAAAAGATGATGATGATGATGATGATGATGATGATGATGATGATGATGATGATGATGATGAAGATGAAGATGAAGATGAAGATGATGATGATGATGATGATGATGATGATGATGATGATGATGATGATGATGATGATGATGATGATGATGATGATGATGATGATGATGATGATGATGATGATGATGATGATGATGATGATGATGATGATGATGATGATGATGATGATGATGATGATGATGATGATGATGATGATGATGATGATGATGATGATGATGATGATGATGATGATGATGATGATGATGATGATGATGATGATGATGATGATCGGCAGTCACATCGACTTTCGGAGGTCAGCGTGGACTCCTCGTCTCGGTGCTGGACACCCCCTCACTGGCGCGAGCGGAGCGCCACGGGCGGCGCCCGATAGGCGTCGCCAGGGGGGCCCAGCGCCGATCCAGAAAAAATCACGCGGAGCTAAGGCGATGTGTTTGCGCCAACTGTGTTCATTGGATCCTGCGCTCCTCCTCCTCCTCGTCCTCCTCGTCCTCCTCCTCCTCCTCCTCCTCCTCCTTGTCCTCCTCCTCCTCCTCCTCCTCCTCCTCCTCCTCCTCCTCCTCCTCCTCATGGGCCCGCCCCCGAGAAGGAAATTCCAGAGGAGACAAGAGTCCCGCGCATTGTTCCTGCCTGGACTGGCCACAGCGTGCGCCGATCACATGTGGCCACCTCTGCCGCGCAAGTGGCAGCAACGCCCTCCCTCCCCGAATCGTTCCTGCACGGAAAGGCCGCAGCGTGCGCCGATCTGATGTGGCCACCTCTGCCCCGCCGGTGGCAGCAACGCCCTCCCTCCCCAGCCTCCTTCGCTGGCCTCCCCCTCCTCCACCCCGCCCCCTTGGAAGGTCTAGAGGTTGACACCTACACCAATATCGGCGGTATGCCTCCACCGAGGGAGGGTGCTCCCGATCGCAGTGGTAGTGGTAGTACTGTGGCTTCCCAGGTGGCAGAAGTATCACCACCAACACCACATTTTAGGATCATCTTCCCCGTGTGATGTTGTTGCCCCGTTCCAGGCCCCCACCCCCTCCTGCTCCGCCCGCGCCGGCGCAGCCCGGGCTGCGGTCGCGGGCACGAGAGCGGCGGTCCGGCCGCCGCAGGCCGCCGCGGCCGCCGCCGCGGCCGCCGCGCCCGCGGGCTGGCGCCAGCCGGGCCGCCTCCTGTGGCGCGGCCCGGAAGGCGGAGGGGGAGGACGAGTAAAGGGGAGGTCCCTTACACCGCGTCCAGCTTCTCCACCTCCGCCCACCCCCCCCCCAAGCCCTCCCCCAAACCGCCCCCTTCCCCGAGGAGGGGGGAAAGGAGGATGAGCCGGGGAGGAGGGGGAGGAGAGGCGGAGGCGGAGGCGGAGGAGGAGGAGGAGGAGGAGGACGAGGGAAAGGAGGGGGGGAGGGGAGGAGGAGGGGAGGAGGAGTAGGAGGAGGAGGAGGAGGAGGAGGAGGAGGAGAGGAGGAGAGGAGGAGAGGAGGAGGAGGAGGGGAGGAGGAGGAGGAGGAGAAAGGGGAGGAAGAAGGAAAGGAGGCGTAGGAGGAGGGAAGCGAAAATGGGGAGGAGGAGAAGGAGGCGGAGGACGTGGAGGTGGTGGAGGAGGTGGAGGAACGGAGGCCGAGGCGGAAGCTAAGGCGGATGGAGCAAGAGGTGAGGCAGAGGCGTTGGAGAAGGTGGAGGCCCTCTAGCAAAAGAAAGAAGACATCCTCCTCTTCCCTCCCTTTTTCTTATGGGTATTTCCGTCTTGTCGCACCACCACACATGTGGTCAGGGCGGACAAGGCATTTCGCCTAGAAGCTCCTCCGACCCCTAATCCCACCAGCCCTCTGGGCGTCGGTGGTTTAGGGCGTTTCCTCTTTCACCCCTCCCTCTGCCCCTTCGGGGAGGGGTTTACCCCTCCCCCTACCCCCTCCCCACTGACCTGGACAGGAGGGGCGGGGAGCGGTCAGAGCGTCCAAAACGGCCTCGGCGAGGAAGCCAAAATCATTGATTTTACTATGGTTTTGGCCCCATTTTGGCCTTCTGAGGGGGCAGCGCTAATTAGAGCTCCCCTCTTCTTTGATCGATTTCCTCCACGATGGCCGCAAGAGGCCCCCAGGATGCCCCAAGAGGCCGCAGGATGGCCCCAAGATGGCCCCAAGAGGCCCCCCAAGAGGCCCCGAGGAGGCCCCCAAGAGACCCCAAGATGCCCAAGAGGCCCCAAGATGGCCCCAAGAGGCCCCAAGAGGCCCCCAGGAGGCCCCAAAGAGGATCCCGAACGGCCCACAGAGGCCCCCCCGAGGCACCCAAGACGCCGAAAAGCCCCTCAGGACGACCCTCTACTCGCCTGGGCGTCGTTTCTGGTGGGGATACGCGAAGCGTCTAGAATTACAATAATTGTTCGGATGGAGGGCGGGGCGTTTTCAAAGCGGGCTCCCGCCTAGCGCCTCGCACACTCTTTTTTATCAAAAACAGCTACACACATGGAGGGCGGCTCCGTCTCGAAACGGGTTTTCGTCTTGGCACCACGAGCACTCGTCGTAACATATTCCCAAGGTTACCCTTACGGAAGGCGAACAAATATAAAAAAGGGGGGTTCGGGTTACTTGACAAGGCGAACGCACGTCTTTGAAAACGGGGCAGTGCTTTGCAAAGTGTGGCTCTAGTTTGGGACTGCCGCCAATTATACGAATGTGAATATATATATATATATATATATATATATATATATATATATATATATATATATATATATATATATATATATATATATCATAAATACACACATACATGTAATTATATACATGAATACGAACATACATGTATATAGCTAACGAATATAGGTATGTGCACATACAATAACGGTATACCAAAACCGTGCAACACTCATACGGAGGGAAGATGCTTCCGTTCAAAATAGCGGAACTCCGCTTGAATTTCCCAGGACTTGCTGACCACACGTGTCCAATTATGCACGAATGAAGGGCATGTCCTCCCAAACCATACCGTCACCAAGCATATTATTCGCGCTTGTTGTCTGTACACCACCGTGACACAAGCGTGTTCATATTTGCACGATCGACGAATATTCGTTCCCTGCTCCTACTCCTATCATGAAATATTGCTGGCGGCTTTGGTCGTTCAACAAAGGACTTGAAACTTCCCGTGCCAAATTGTATGACGGGGGACGATCACATAGCACCAAAAAAAACAGCCAAAACAAATAGCACCGCATGACCCGCAGACCCCTGAACCGGAACATATCAGATAGCACGCGCGTCCGCTCTGAGGACAGTCCATGGGGACACGGAGGGGGGACTTCAGATCGTAGACGCCCAAAGAGGGACAGGGCGGGGGGGCGGAATGGCGCCGCCGCTCGAAACATCATCGAAGCCGTGGAGCCGCCGCCCAGGACATCCTCGCAACCGCGGCGCCGCCGTTCGGGGCATCCTCGCAACCGCAGCGCCGCCCATCGAGACATCATCACATCCGCGGCGTCGCCGCTGGAGACTCCCGCACAACCGCGGCACCGCCGCTCGGGACATCCTCACAGCCGCGGAACCGCCGCTCGAGAGATCCTCGCAACCGCGGGGCCACCGCCGCAACTCACTCAGACTCAATCACATCACTGCTTCCCGCAAACCCTGCGCTAGACAGGTAACACACGCCCAAGAGGAAGCAAGGGCGAGGCGAGAAGGAGGAAGGTGGAGGAGCCTTAACGCCAGCACGGCGGTCCCCAAAAGGCAAACTCGCAGCTGGTCCCACTCTGGAGTCACTTAGGGTCGCGTAGGGCATGAATGAACATGTCTATAACATATATATATATATATGTATGTATATGTAAATATATACATACATACATACATACATACATACATACATACATACATACATACATACATACATACATACATGCATGCATGCATGCATGCATGCATGCATGCATGCATGCATACATACATACATACATACATACATACATACATACATACATACATACATACATACATACATACATCCCAGAGCAAAGACAACATCCCACCAGCCCTCTGGGCGCAGATGGTCTTGAGCGTTTATTTTTCCAACCTCCTTCCTTTCCCTGCTCAGGAGGTTTACCTCTCCCCCCCCTCTCTGCGTTTGGACGGGCTCCCCCGCAACGTGTCAGAGGGCCCTTTTCGGCCCAAGATGGCTCCAAGAGGGCTTCAGAGAGTGCGGGATGGCCTCAAAGATGGCCCAAGATAGCGGTAGATGGCTCAAGATAGCCTCTGACACGCATCCAAGAGGCCACAAGACAGCCCCAAGACGGTTTCAAGTGCCCTCCGAGCCCTCCGAGGACCCCCCCAAGACGCCAAAATCCTTCAAAGCCGCCGGAAATCTATGCGTTTTGCCTTCTCGCTCTGTCGCCTCCGATGGGCTCTTCAGGCCTCAAGATGGCCCTAAGACGGCCCAAGATAGTCCCACGAGAGGCCCAGGAGGGCCCCAAGACAGCCCCAAGAGCGCCCAAGAGCGCTCCAAGAGCGGCCCAAGAGGGCCCCAAGACGGCATGTTCGAGCCCCCCCATTTGTTTTAACGAAAAGGTCCAAGACGGCCCCGAGAGGCCCATCAGGCATCCAAAAAAAACGAAGAAGACCCCCAGATCCCCCTCCCCCCCAAAAAAACATGAGGGCCGCAAGACGCCCCAAAAGAGCCCCGAGCGGGCCCCAAGAAAGCCCTAAGAGGACCTCAAGAAAGCCCCAAGAAAGAGCTCCCGAAGGGCCCCAAGAGAACCCCAAGAGAGCCCCAAGATGACTCTAAGTTTCGAAGCGCACGCGAGTTTAAGATACCAATCGGTGCAACAGCCATTACGAGTCGTCGAAACAGCCCTCACCCCTCATCGAAGCACCATCGTAGCCTGCACTGGCTTACACCTTAAACTTCAATGCGGGAAACTCTGTGTGATCCTTGTTGTCCCGAAGACGGCTGCGCAACTACATGCGTCCTGCCGCCCCTGATTCACCGACTCCCCTGCTGATCGTTTCTGGATGGGCTGGTGGGGATACTTTTTTCGGTCGCGGCCACGAGACGACGGTCAGGCGGCGAAAGCACAGTCCGGGACGCGAACTAGGCGAATTAGCTAAGCCAGGCGCAGGCCGCCTGGCCCACTCAGACATCAGCTGCGGGCTGACGGGTGGAGCTGAACTGATCGGCGCACTGCAAGCTCGCGCACGTGCACTGGACAAAATCTCACGGAATTCAAGCGGCCAAGGCACAACCCGCACAGAGGGGACGCGGACCACAATGGGCAATTCCTTCGTGCTTAGTGAAAACGTGATGGCCGTTGGAGCGAGTCGCCAATGTGGCGCCAGGCTCCGAGCGGACGACCTGAGCTAGCCAGGCAGGCTAAGCAGTCGTGAGCCGTGGTGCAACGCACAGGGGAGGCTGAAGGTGGGCCTGTAATACTGCACCTGCTGCGGAAGGCTGACCCACTCTGCACCATGGCCAGCCCCAAACAGACCACGTCACAGTGGCAGGGGGTAACCGAGCGACTGTGAGCCATCCGGCGCACGTCGGCACGGCAAGGCCACTGAGCGGGGGGGGGGCCGCTGGCGCGGCGAGCATCGCCGGCGAAGAAAGAAAGATGGAGCGCACTGGAAGTGGCGGCGCCGTGACGGCGAACCGGACCAGAGCAGGTGGGACTCAAAAAGAACAGGTTGAGCTGTACCACACGGGGCACGTGGCGCCGGCACGGGCGGGGTGCGTTGTTGTCTCAGGGCGGTGTGCCTGGGGGGGCTGCACGGTGGAAAGCAGGAGGGCCGTCGGACGCAAAGCCAGGCCAAGCTCGCCGCTGGCCCCTCCCCCCAGGCCCCTGGAACGACAACGAACACCACGTGGTCCTCCAGGGCCGCAGCTGACCGCCGCTGGGAAGGGAAAACCAATCCTCGCACAGCGCCGGGCGCGGGCGGCCCAGGGAGGGGGGCGACCCCACCAACGTCGGACAGCACGTCGGCGGTTCCCGGGGGCCATGAGCGGGGGACACCCACCTGGCCCCCGAGGAGAGAGGCGGGGGGAAAGCCGCCCCTCTCCTCGGTCAGGCCACCGCACCCGTGGGATAGGGGA